ATCTCCAGGTGGGGGAGCGACTTGCTTTCCTAAGTGACAAGCCGCTCTGCCCACATTGCAATGACGAGGAGACGTTGGAGCATTGTCTTTTCGCCTGCCCGCGAATTCAGACGGTGCCGACTGCGCTGAAGAGAAGTCTCCACATGCTGAACCCATCACGTGCCACAGCCTCATTGGAGGACCTCCTTTTCTGAAAGGCGGGGTCACGTACAGCTTTCCCGGAAGCAACTCTTATCGCAATCACTTAACATCAGGTCTGGTTGAAGCGATGCGAAGCTGTCTTCAGGGGACGCAGATTCATAGCGCGTCGTGTACTGAGACGGATTCTGCCAGCATGCACGGGTATATATGAAGGCACGCTCGGCCGCGTGGCAGAAAAAAAGGAGGACGATGCATGAGGACAGCTTCCATAGTGGAATTTTTTTTTTAACAACGCTTGCTAAGTAGGATTCGGCTCGCAAATGACAGGAAGTGGACATGGACCAGAGGTTTTGAGTCCATCTGGACCAATCCCCGAACGGTGTATAACCCACCTTAGAATCTCCGCTGGAGCAGACAGCCTCTGCTCACTCACGCACGGTTACGACCGCTATTGTCAGTGTACATTTGTGTTTGCGGTGTATACTTTCAATTAAAAACAAAAAAACAAAAACAAAAAATGTCTGCTATTGTCATTCATTTGGTATTGTTACGAGTGCAATTGAGTGAGCGAGCGAGGATTGCACTATCGAAGCAAGAATACAATGAGCGAAGGATTGAGCAAAGAATATATAGCGAAGCTACAGTGGTAACGGTAACGTGTGGAAAAATGGGGTGCGCGACGGGCCTAGTGCCGAGGTTGGGAATTGTCGAGGAGAAGGTCTGGAGCGCGGGTTACCAACCGAGCCGTGAGGTTGGGTCGCGTCGTGAACAGTGGCGGGAATCGTGGCGAGGCGAATGTCGCGAGTGGTAACGGATTATTGTTGGGTGCTGTTGGCGGGAAACTGTGGTGTACACGCTGAGCAGGGACGCGAAGTAAGGAAAAGGAATTTTCCTTACACTACACCCCCCCCCCCCCTAAGAAGGCCCTTCTTACGAAAGCGCGTGTCATCCCGGAAATTTCGGTTGCGCAGATACTCGGTGAGGACGGGGTGGTTTTCAATTCTGTCCAGGGGAACCCAATTGTCTTCAGTGGGCATGCGGTCTTTCCAGCGGATCAGAAATTCGACCCTTCGAGCTCCCCGTGGGTCACGAACTCGGTGGCTCAGAATCTTTTCGGGTGTGATGATTGGTTCTGTCGGCGGCCGTGTCATGGTGGCTGGCGGTTGCGGGGCAGTTGGCTGGTGGATGGTATGTAAGGGCGAAGCAGGCTGACGTGGAAGGACAGGCTGACGTACCAGTCAGCAGGGAGGAGGAGGTGGGCGGTGACGGGTGTGATCATGTGACTGATGCGAAGTGGCCCGCAATATCGGGGGCGGAGTTTCGGGGTTATGGGTGTCAGAGGTCCACTGGTGATCCCCGATATTTCCTAGGGAAGGGTTACAGGCTCGTTGTCCTTGGGGGTTATGGGCGCACTGACCCGCTACTTAACAAGCCCTTTTATCCCAATGGTCAAGTGGTTGGGATTCTGTCAATGGGCAGGCGGAGTTTCTGGGTGTCGAGTAAAACTAGGTCGTCGGGCTGGTAAGTGACAGGTCTGCGGTGGCGGTCGGCGTTGCGCTTAGCGATGACGTTGGCTTTTTTAATTGCCTCGGCTGCCCGGGTCCGTGCTGCTTGTAAGATTTCTGCGAACTGTTACGCACGTGGTACTGGGTTGTCGGGATTCGTGGTCATGGGTGTCAAACTTATACATGCTATAGTCTGTTTAGGCTGTAGTGGGGTAGTCCTTATAGGGTACAACACTTTTAGGTTTCCTACTTGTACCCAACTGCTTCCTAGTTCATTCATTCCTCTCATTATTCTTACATGGTATAGAGCAGGTTCCCTAGTGGGACTATTTTTTTTTAGGGCCCACCACTACGAATTTTTTTTCCTTACGTGCCCGAAGCTCGCTTCGCGTTTGTCCTAACTGCGCCCCGTGCGCCTGCCCTTCGAGGCCCTTCGCGGCCCGTCGCGGCCCTTTCGCGGCCCTCAGCGGCCCCTCTTACGGCCCTTCGCGGCCCCTTCGCGGCCCTTCGCGGCCCCTTTCACGGCCCTTCGCGGCCCCTTTTGCGGCCCTTCGTGGCCCCTCGCGGCCCTTCGCGGCCCCATGTGCGGCCCTTCGAGGCCCCTTCGCGGCCCTTCGCGGCCCTTCACAGCCCTGCGCGGCCCTTCGCGGCCCTCTCCAAGGCCCTTCGCGGCCCCTTAGCGGCCCTTCGCGGCCCCTTACGCGGCTCTTCGCGGCCCCCTTCCGGCCCCTGCTGGCGCGCCCCTGCCGGCCCCTGCTGACCCGCCTCTGACGCGCCCCTACTAGCGCGCCTCTGCCGGCCCCTGCTGACGCGCCCCTGCTGGCGCGCCCCTGCCGGCCCCTGCTCACGAGCCCCTGCCGGCACCTGCTGGCGCGGCCCCCTGCTGACGCGCCTCTGCCGGCCCCTGCTGACGCGCCCCTACTGGCGCGCCCCTGCCGGCCCCTGCTGACGCGCCTCTGCTGGCCCCTGCTGACGCGCCCCTACTGGCGCGCCCCTACCGGCCCCTACTGACGAGCCCCTGCCGACCCCTACTGGCGCGGCCCCTGCAGTCACGGCCCGCCCCTGCACCCGTCTCTGGTAAGCCGAGCCGCGCAGCCCAGCAGAGCCGCGCCGCCCAGCCGAGCCGCGCCGCCCAGCCGAGCCGCGCCGCCCAGCCGAGCCGCGCCGCTCAGCCGAGCCGCGCCGCCCCCACCGAGCCGCACTGCCCTACCGAGCAGCACTGCTGCTACTGCTTCTACTATTGCTACTACTGCTACTGCTGCTACTGCTGCTACTGCTGCTACTGCTGCTACTCTTGCTACTGCTCCTACTGCTGCTATGGCTAGTCCTACCGTTCTCACCTTTGATGCTGAGGGACGTGCAGTTGACTTTGACGTGTGGGTTGACGACCTACAGCTCTTTCTTCAGTGTGATTCTAGGGATGGGGTATCCCTTTTCGATCACACGTCCGGTGTTTCCACTGCTCCTGCTGCCACTGCTGACAGTACTGTTCGCTCGCAGTGGACCACTCGTGACGCTGTTGCTCGTCTTGCTGTTCGTAGTCATCTGCCGCCTGCTGAGCGCGCACACTTTGGCCAGTACAAGACTGCTCAGTCTTTGTACGACGCTGTAGTTGCACGCTACTCCTCCCCTGCCACTGCTGCCCTCAGCCGCCTCATGCTGCCGTACCTTTTCCCTGACCTTGCCGCCTTTGCCACAGTTGCTGACCTAGTTGCTCACCTTCGCACTAGTGACGCCCGCTACCGCGCTGCCCTTCCCACTGAGTTCTGTGCCAAGAACCCCCCCCCCATGTACATCACCCTTTACTACCTAGTCACCCGCCTCCCTGACTCCCTCTCTTCAGTCAGGGACCACTTTCTCTCCCTTTGCCCCACCGAGCTGACTGTCGACCTGCTAGAGGAGCGTCTTGCTGCAGCTGAGAAGAGTATCTTAGCTGTAGGTGCTTCTCGCGGCGATCGTCGCACCCCCTTCTTTGAGGGGTGTTCCCCTGTCCCCCTTCTCCCCTCTGTTGCTTCTGCTGCTGCTGTCGACCTCGTTGGCACTGAGGAGGTCGGAGCTGCGTCTGCCCCTAGTGGGAGACGCCGCAACAGCAAGGGCAAGGGGAGCAAGGGTGGTGGAGGGGGCGGCGGGGGAAGCAGTGGAGGAGGTGGAGGCGGCGGAGGAGGTGGCGGTGGAGGTGGGGGTGGTACCGGGAGTGGGGGCGTCAGTGGCGGCGGTGGAGGTCGTGGCGGCGGTGGCGGAGGTGGTGGAGGCAGCGGCAGCGGTGATGGAGGTGGAGGCGGCGGTGGTGCTGGTCGAGGTACAGCCGCGCAGCGTGGAGGCTTTGGTGGCAGCCAGCGCCAGCAGCAGCTGCGCACCCGTGAGACCCCGTCGGTTCAGCAGCTTCGTGAGTGGTACGCTGGGCGTGGGAGGTCTGGGAGTGCAGGTCCCTGCACTTATGTTCTTCGCACCGGCACTCGTAGTGGGGAGGTGTGTGGGCTCCCACACACCACGCAGCGCTGCTTCGGTCGCTTGACTGACGCTTGGCGTACCCATTTTCCTGACGCCGTTGAGCTCCCTCGCTGGCATGATCTGCTTCTGCAGAATGTGCCTATCTTTGATCTAGATTTTGATGCTATCCTTGCTGCCATATATGCTCTTGCTGATAGTGCTGAGGGTGACTGTTACCTGTGTGTCCTGCCCGACCCGGGCATTGCGGCTGCTGCTCTAGGTGCTAGTGCGGCTGCTGCTCTAGGTGCTAGTGCGTCTGCTGCTCCAGGTACTTGTGCGTCTGCTGGTCCAGGTGCAGGTGCGTCTACTCTCTCTGGTACTGCACCTACTGAGTCCTTGCACAATTTCACACTTGACTCTGGTGCTTCGCGCTCGTTCTTTCGAGACAGCACCACGCTCACGCCGCTCAGTCGGCCTGTTGCGGTCTCCCTTGCTGACCCCTCACGGGGCCCAGTCCTTGCACACTCCTCCACGGTTCTACCGTGTCCTGCGGCCCCGTCGGGCTTGCTGTCGGGACTCCACCTCCCCTCGTTCTCTACGAACTTGGTGAGTGGAGCTGACCTCCAGGACGCGTGGGTTGACCAGTTCACCCCTGGAGGTCAGCGTGTGACCCACTGCACTTGCTCTCGGACGGGCCGCCACCTGGCCACGTTCACCCGTCGGCCAGGGTCGAGTCTGTACACACTGACTACTGCGCCTCCTCCGGTCTCTGCGTCTGGTCAGGTAGCTGCGTCTAGTCAGGTGTTTGCTGCCGCGTCCAGGTCTAGTCCTGCGTCCGCCCCCTGCTCGTGTCGTCCTCTGTCACACAAGATTCTCCTTTGGCACCACTGCCTTGGTCACCCCTCCGTGCCTCGTCTTCGAGGTATGGCCTCCCGTGCCCTTGTCTCTGGTCTCCCCAGGTCCCTCCCTCCCCTTCCTCCGGGGCCTGCCCCCACCTGTGTTCCTTGTGTCGAGGGCCGGCAGCGCGCCGCTCCTCACTCCTCCTCGTTCCCTCCGACAGAGGCTCCTCTGCAGACTCTTCACATGGACGTGTGGGGCCCAGCCCGCGTCCGTGGACAGGGTCACGAGCGTTACTTCCTGCTGGTCGTTGACGACTACTCGCGTTACACCACTGTCTTCCCCTTGCGCAGCAAGGGTGAGGTCACTGAGGTGTTGATCGACTGGATCTGCGGTGCTCGTCGCCAGCTCAGTGAGAGTTTCGGCTCAGACCTTCCTGTTCTGCGTCTGCACTCAGACAGAGGTGGGGAGTTTTCCTCCGACCTCCTGAGAGCCTTCTGTCGTTCGGAGGGCATCCGCCAGATGTTCACGCTTCCGGCCTCCCCGCAGCAAAATGGGATTGCTGAGCGCCGCATTGGCATGGTCATGGACGTCGCTCGTACGTCCATGATCCATGCGGCTGCTCCCCATTTTCTGTGGTCGTTCGCGGTTCAGTACGCTGCGCATCAGATCAACCTTCAGCCTCGTGTCTCCTTGCCGGAGACCACACCTACTCTGCGGTGGACGGGGAAGGTTGGCGATGCGTCCGCGTTCCATGTCTGGGGATCTCGAGCTTTTGTCCGCGATACTACAGCAGACAAGCTGTCCTCCCGTGCCGTTCCCTGTGTCTTCCTTGGCTTCCCTCCTGACGCACCCGGGTGGCAGTTCTACCACCCCAGCTCGCGTCGTGTTCTGTCCTCTCAGGACGTCACGTTTGACGAGTCGGTGTCATACTACCGTCTCTTTCCCTACCGCACTGCCTCTCTCCCTCCCCCGCCGCTCTTCCTCGCACCAGGTACTCCCCCAGTAGACCCCCTCCCCCCCTAGGGTCCTGCCCCCTCAGGTGTGTCCCAGGTAGACCCTGCCGAGCCGGTCGAGGTAGCTGTCGACTCAGGTGCTACTAGGGGTGCTGAGCCTGTGGGTGCGGGGACTGGGGGTGCGGGGCCTGGGGGTGCTGAGTCTGGGGGTGCTGAGTCTGGGGGTGCTGAGCTCGGGAGTGTGGAGCCTGAGGGTACTGTGTCTGGGGGTGCTGAGCCTGCACGTGCTGCGTCTGGAGGTGCTCTAGGTGACCCGTTGTGGCGGGAGCCTCTCTCTCCTCAGCAGCTTCGTGAGTGGTACTCTCGGCGCTGTCGAGGTGCTGCTAGTGCTGGTGCTGCTGGAGCTGCTGGAGGTGCTGCTGGTGCTGCTGGAGGTGCTGCTGGTGCTGGCGCTGCTGGAGGTGCTGCTGGTGCTGGAGCTGCTCGAGGTGCTGCTGGTGCTGGAGCTGCTCGAGGTGCTGCTGGTGCTGGAGCTGCTGGAGGTGCTGCTGGTGCTGGAGCTACTAGAGGTACTGCTGGTGCTGGAGCTGCTGGAGGTGCTGCTGGTGCTGGAGCTGCTGGAGGTGCTGCTGGTGCTGGAGCTGCTGGAGGTGCTGCTGGTGCTGGAGCTACTGGAGGTGCTGCAGGTGCTGGAGCTACTGGAGGTGCTGCTGGTGCTGGAGCTGCTGGAGGTGCTACTGGTGCTGGAGCTGCTGGAGGTGCTCCTAGTGCTGGAGCTGCTGGAGGTGCTGCTGGTGCTGGAGCTACTGGAGGTGCTGCTGGTGCTGGAGCTGCTGGAGGTGCTGCTCGTGCTGGAGCTGCTGGAGGTGCTGCTGGGACTGGAGACCCTGGTCCTGAGGGTACCGGTTCTGTCTCTTCTGTTTCTGGAGGCGCTGCGCGGCCGCGGCCGTACTACGTTCCGCTTCTTCAGCAGGTTCTTGGCTCCCCGCCTTCTCCTGGTCCTCCTCCTTTCCTGCGTCCACCGCCTATCCAGTCCCCGTTGCAGTTCCAGCCGGCCTCTCCACTGCCTAGTCCTTCTCCTTACTCTGGACCGACTAGAGGTCTTACAGAGCGTTGTGAGCCTGAGTCTCGTCCTTTGTCGCCTGAGTCTCGTTCTGCGTCGCATGTGCGACCTGTTCGCACTAGTCGTGTTTCGCGTCCGCGTCCTCCTCCTGTCCCTGGCACTCACTCTATGACTCTGCGTCCTTCTACTGCTCCGCAGCGTGTCCCTTTGCCGTCTCCTCCTGCGTCCTCTCTTCCTGCCTGTCCGGACCCTGCTTCTGACTCCCTACGTGCTGCCAGTCCAGCTGTCACGCGTTTTCTGGCCACTGCTGTCACTGACCCTTTGTTTGAGTCCTCTACTGGGCAACAGCGACGCCGGACGTGTGGTCAAACAGTGAGACTCCGTCCTTAGAGTCACACTGCAGAAAAAGGTGAAGATCATCGACCCAGACCTCAAAATCGACCGCTCGACCCTCAGCATCGAAGGTAAGGACATTAGGGCTAGCCATGACAGCAGGAGCAGCAGCAGTAGCCTAGCAGCAGCAATAGTAGCAGGAGCAGCGCGACTTGGCAGGGCGGCGCGGCTCGCAAGGGCGGCGCGGGTGCGGCGGTGCGCTTACCAGGGTAGGGCCGCCAACGGCGACAGTAGGCAGGGCCGCGACTGCGGCTGTAGGAAGGGCCGCAGCAGCTGCAGGCAGGGCCACAACAGCGGCCAAGCAAGGCCGCGACAGCTTCAGGCGGGGCCGCGACAGCAGGGCGACAGGGCCGCGATGGCTCCAGGCAGGGCCACTACGGCAGGGAGGCAGGGCCGCGACGGCAGGATGGCAGGGCCGCGGCGGCAAAGCAGGGCCGCGACGGCGGAAGTCAGGGCCGCGACTGGAGGGCGGCGGAGCCGCGTTAGCAGGGCGGCAGGGCCGTGACGGGATCAGGCAGGGCCGCGACGGCAGGGGCCTCAATGGCAGGGGCCGCGACGGCAAGGGGCCACGACGGTAGGGGGGTGGGCGCGACGGCAGGGGCCGCGACGGCAGGGGCCGCGACGGCAGGGGCCGCGACTGCCGTGGCCGCGACGGCAGAGGCCGCGACGGCAGGGGCCGCGACGGTAGGGGCCGCGACGGCAGGGGGGGCGCGACGGCAGGGGCCGCGACGGCAGGGGCCGTGACTGCAGGGCAGGCGCACGGGGCGCAGGTAAGGCAAGCGCGAGGCGCGCGACAGGGCAAGGAGCGCGCTTCGGGCAGGGCAGAAAAAAAAATATTATGTAGTGGGCCCTAAAAAAAACCGGTCCCACTAGGGAACCCGCTCTATACCATGTGAAAGATGTACGAGGATAAAATGGTGTGGACTAGAAAGGAGATGGGTACAAGTATGAAAACCTAGAAAAGCTGTACCCCATAATGTCTACCCCACTACAGCCTACACAGGCTATATCATATCTGTTTGACACCCCTCACCAGCGAAACGGCGTAGCGAATCTTCGTTGCGTCCGACTCGACGTAATTTGCATCGAAATAAACTTTCATCGTGAAGACCCACGATTGAACCGTCAGACCTCCACGTTGGCTTGGATCGAAACAGGGCGGGCGCTGTAGCTTGAGTGGCATTGGTGCCATGATGTCGTGGTTGCCGCTTGTTGCTGCAAACTCCGCGTGCCGACGGGCTTCGCGAGGCTCACGTGGGCTTGGTGCGGCCCTATTTCTCTCCATGCCTAGCATTGAGTGAGTGGCGCCATCGCTGGCCACGCCTGAGCGTTGTCCCACGCTGTCGTTTTGTGTCAGTGTGCCTGATGAGACGATGATCGGCTCCTCTGATTGTGCAGGTGCATTTGTTTATGCTGGTCCATTCACCGTTGATTGCTGGCGAGTGGAGTCGCGTTCCGCCGTGAGTGTAGCGATTTCTGTTGGGCTGAGAGAAACCCTTAGGATCTTTGCAGGACTAAATTCTGAGTAGGACAATTTAATAGCGGAAGCGTTTAATGAGAACTTTGTGAACCACCTTGCGCTAGTATGTGAGGGCAAAGTAGATTGATTAAAACAAAGGGATACAAGCTTTTATAAGAGTACAAGGAATATGAAGAGATACAGTTAATAACTGTTTTGCTGTTGCTGTTGCGGTTCGATACAGTGACGACTCGGGCAACTGCTCTGTAGCGAGTCAGTTGTTTGTCCTTGCTGTCGCGCTGTATTTGTCAGGTCAAAAGTCGCTGACCTTTGACTTTCGCATAACCTCCAGCAGTTGTTCAACCTCCGAGGGTTGACCCGCTAATGCTTCGATATGTTTTGCTTCGCTTCTGACTTGGTGTTTCGACACGACAGAAGCGCTAAATCAATTGTTTCCAACACTCCCCTTCGCTTCTGGAGTGTCGCTGCTGGTGACGTGGCTTTGTCCAGTCAGCAGCATGCAGTACTCAAACTTCTGCTTCCCGAGCTTCTTGGTCAAGTAATCAGCTGCCATCTCGAACGTGGGACAGTAAGACAGCTCAAGTCTCCCCTTCTCGATCTCGTCCTTTACGAAGAAATATCGCAGGGCGATATGCTTCGTCCTGTTCGCGAATCCGTTTTTGTTGGCTATGCGAATTGCCGACTGGTTGTCGCAGAACAAGGAGAAGCTGGGTAACTGAGCCAGCTTTGCCTCCTCCAGAAGTTCGCGAAGGTACAGTCCTTCCTTGGTGGCTGAGCAGAGTGCGATATATTTAGCTTCAGCTTCAGCTGGAGGCCACTCTGTGTGTAGCGGGGGAGAGTTGTGTCCGCGGGATAAGCTGCTTCGTCACCTGCTTCTGGGTCAGGTATGAAGTTGGGCCCTATGCGTTCTGCTTCGTTGGTGTTGACTTCTGCAGGTGTAACGTAACCGTTGTCGGCGAAGTGGTAAAATACGTCGGCGTTGGCGCTTTCGCGAGGATTTTTGTCATCCATTGGGACGTCGACGGAGCAGTAAGGGAGAGGTCCGGCTTCCTCCGAGGCTTCATCTACGTTCTGCTCGTCCCAGTCAGCTTCGTCTGCTACCGAGGCGAAGTGTCGGTCACCACGGAAGCCACCTGTGGGGTCCCGATCTTCTTCCAGGTTGGCAAGATACGTCGGAAGGGTGAGTCGTTCGTAGAAAATGACATCACGTGCTGCTACTGTTGCTTTGGAGTGGACGTCGAAAATCTTCCACGTGTTGTAATTTCTTTCGATGCCCAGGTGTAGTCCCCACTGTGCGCGTTGGGAAGATCGGCCGGCTCGTGCAGATGGGGGTCGGTACTGTACCATGCAGCCGAAAACTCTTAACATTTTTGTGCTGCCCTGTTTTCCTGTCCACAGCAGATGCGGTGATGCGGTGTTCGGGAGCGATGATGACGAGAGCAAGTTGTGCAGCATGACAGCGTGATCCATTGCTTCGGGCCACTGGTGGTTGGGCAGTCGCATGCCCCGTAGCAGCTTGCGCATGGTGTTCTGGAGAGTCCTGTTCATTCTTTCTGCTACGCCTTGTTGCTGGTGAGCGTAGGGAAGAGAGATGAGCCTCTTGATTCCTCTTTCTGCCAAGTACTGCTTGAACCTCTGTGAGGTGTATTCTCCTCCTCCGTCTGACTGGAAGCTTTTTAGTTTCACGCCTGATTCTCGTTCTGCTACTGGGAGCCAAGCGATGAAGGCCTCGAAAGCTATGTCCTTGCTCGGAAGGTTAAGGTGCCAAACGTAACGCGTTGCGGCATCGATGAACGTGATGGTGTAGCTGTATGCTCCTTGTCCAGGTTCGCGATTGTACAAGATATCGCTGTACACTTTCTCAAGTGGTGCGTAAGCTGGTGCGCTGGGGTTGTGGTGAGAAGCGAATGGCCGATGTGGTAAGTCAGCTTCGGGGCAGGTAAAGCACGTTCCACGAGCTCGTCGAAGTTTGCTTCCATCGGTTAGGAGCAGTGAATCTTTGTCGAGTACTCCTGCTCTAATTGTGTTGTTTAACACCGTGTTGCTTGGATGTCCCATTCGTGCGTGCCAGATGTCTTCGCTAGCTCGATGTCCGGGTGAGCGACGGTACAAGTCGGATTTGGAGTAGAAGCTTGCGGTGAAGTTTGCGCTTCGATGTACTTCTCGTGGTGTTGGGTTAAGCTGCTGCGCAGGAGTCGGTGGAGTGTCGTTGATTGGAGCCGATGCAGTTGAAGGACCAGCGATTGGTGTCGATGTTGCCGCTGCTGCTGCCGTTGTTTCTGCTGCTGCCGATGTTGTCTCTGCTGCTGCCGATGTTGTCTCTGCTGCTGCCGATGTTGTCTCTGCTGCTGCCGATGTTGTCTCTGCTGCTGCCGATGTTGGTTCTGCTGCTGCTGAGTGTTGAATTGTTGCTAATGCTCTTGTTCGTTCTGCCTCAGGGATGGTGTGCGAGTACCAGAAGCCTTCTGGACTGAATTTGGGGTCGAGATCCGGTGGATGTGTCCAGGAGGTGAAAGTGACAATCCCGTCGCTGTCAGCGGTGCCAAGATCTGGGACGAAGTCGAGGACGAAGACGTTGTTTTTTAGGACCGCCTTCCCGATGTAGAGACCGCCCTTCCCGTGGTATAACTTGAACTCCTGAGTGGTGCTATCTGCTTTGAGGTGTATGCCCTTCGCCATCAGTTGACTGACGCTCAGTAGGTTGTAACCGAGCCCTTCTGCTATTAAAACCTTCGACATCTGCAGTATAACGTTTGTCTCTCGTGACTGAAGTTGCACTATGCCTTGTCGTCGTGTGCGCAGGTTCTGATTGTTGGTGACGGTGATGACGACCTCGCGTTGAAGTTCGTGTTCACTTTGAACAAAGCGTCCTGAAGAGCACATGTGTTGTCCGCAGCAACTGTCCAAGAACCAGGTATCCTTCCCAGACGGTTCGCTTTGGGCGATGGCTGCGTACGTTGGGTTCGGTTGCAGCGATTCTCGACGTGGAGTCCTTTCGTCGAGTTGTTCTTCTGGTGAGTAGTGCGGCGGCGATTCAGTGATGCAGGAGTCGGTCAATCTTGCCATGCAGCTGACGATGTCCCTTGTTCCTTGTGCAGGTTGTCTCGTCGACGTTGTTGACGTTTGAACTTGAGTGGTGGAATTTGCTTGCGTTGAGGCTACTTGACTGCTTGAAGGTCGAAGCTGCCGCTGCGTTGGTACTGACTGTTGTCGGTTAGGGCAGTGTGTGCGAGGATGACCTGACGTCTTGCAGAGATGACAAAACGGAGGTACGGGTTGTTGACCTTGGTACTTGTTTTGCCGATGGTTGTTGCTGTTGTAGCGCCGTTGAGTGTGGAAAGCGAACTCAGACACTGACGTCTTCCTCTTGTGTTTTTCTTCTTGTAGGTCCATGTCTTGCTGTTCGGCGTGAATTTCAGCGCACAATGGTGCTTCGGAGATCTTCCCGTGAGCTCGGAGTATGGCGCGAGTGGAGCGCCAATGAGGACCAAGACCGCCAATGACGACTGTGACGAAGGCGTCTTCTGATATCGACCCTCCGCATCGAAGGAGTTTGTCGCGCAATTCGCGACAGCGGCTGATATACGCCATCCCTTTTTCGCCCGGTTTCATTTCCACTGTTGTCAATTGTGCCATTAACCGACTCTGATTGACGCTGTCTGTTGCCTGATACAGGTTCTTCATGTGGTTGTACGCGAGCTCGGCGGCGTTTCCGTATCCTCGGTAAGACCGAATGTTCTGCTGCTGGTTCGGTGTGACGTTGCGCAGTAGGATTGTATACGCCATCATAGATTGATACGTATACTGCTGTTTGTCGTATTGCGTGCCGTTTGTTGGATATGGCAGGGACCCATCGAAGAAGCCAAGAATCTGTGCGCCTTCCATCATCAGTTTGAATTCGAATGACCAGGTAAAGAAGTCCTTTTTTTCGAATGGTTTTGACGTCTGCAGTTTTAAAACGTGCGCAAACTGCGACTGAACTTGAAGTGCATCTAGTGTCTTCTCTTGCTCAGGTGAAGGCTGCTGGCGCGGCATGAAGCTGACGGAGCCGCGCTGAGGTTCGTACGGGGCGAAGGTAGGTTGTTGCTGATTTCCTCGTGCGTAGGATGAACCGTCGAGGCTCATCGGTGTTGCGTTGTTGTTGTTGCTGTTGTTTGACTGTGCAGGTGCCCCTTGCTGGTGTTGTTCGTAGAAGGACATGAAGGAGAAAAATTTCTCCATCATGTCTGGGTCGAAGGCCGCGGCTTGATTTGCGGGAGTTTCTGTAGACGTTGCCCTTGGTCTTGTTGTCGTACCCTCCTCTGTCTGTAGGCCAGAGGCAGGAGGTGGAGTAGGAGTGGTACCGGGAGAGCCGTTAGAGGAGCTTCTCTCCTTCTGCGTTGCCATGCCTTGTGATGTTGTGGGTGTCTTGATTGTAGTTGAATTTGTCCTGATAGCTCTCATACCATGTTGGGCTGAGAAAAAACCTTAGGATCTTTGCAGGACTTTGTGAGTCGGACAATTTAATAGCGGAAGCGTTTAATGAGAACTTTGTGAACCACCTTGCGCTAGTATGTGAGGGCAAAGTAGATTGATTAAAACAAAGGGATACAAGCTTTTGTAAGAGTACAAGGAATATGAAGAGATACAGTTAATAACTGTTTTGCTGTTGCTGTTGCGGTTCGATACAGTGACGACTCGGGCAACTGCTCAGTAGCGAGTCAGTTGTTTGTCCTTGCTGTCGCGCTGTATTTGTCAGGTCAAAAGTCGCTGACCTTTGACTTTCGCATAACCTCCAGCAGTTGTTCAACCTCCGAGGGTTGACCCGCTAATGCTTCGATATGTTTTGCTTCGCTTCTGACTTGGTGTTTCGACATGACAGAAGCGCTTGTTTCCAACAATTTCGAGGGCCGAATCTTCGAGTTGGGGCACGAGACGGTCGAGCTGCTCTAGCGTCAGTGTCGCGAGATTAATTTCAGCCATGGCGGGGGTGTCGGGCAAGCTCAGCGAGAGCCTCTGTCGTGGCCGTGCGTGCTTACGAGAGAGCACTTCGAGCGGCGGTGCTTGTTCGCTGAGAGATGTCTACCCCCCCCAAAACTTGAGATAGTGGGGAAGCGAAGGTGTGGGTGCGGTCCGAGAGAAGACTGTAGGCTCTGAATACAAAGTGTTACAAGTGCAATTGAGTGAGCGAGCGAGGATTGCACTATCGAAGCAAGAATACAATGAGTGAAGGATTGAGCGAAGAATATATAGCGAAGCTACAGTGGTAACGGTAACGTGTGGAAAAATGGGGTGCGCGACGGGCCTAGTGCCGAGGTTGGGAATTGTCGAGGCGGAGGTCCGGAGCGCGGGTTACCAACCGAGCCGTGAGGTTGGGTCGCGCCGTGAACAGTGGCGGGAATCGTGGCGAGGCGAATGTCGCGAGTGGTAACGGATTATTGTTGGGTGCTGTTGGCGGGAAACAGTGGTGTACGCGCTGAGCAGGGACGCTAAGTAAGGAAAAGGAATTTTCCTTGAGGTATGTTGATTGACATCTACGTCCAGTCCACTGCCATTTTTCTCTGCCATTTTTCTCTGGCATCCAGGAATTATTGATACCCGGGTCAGCACACGAGCCATCTTCGAGACGAAGCGGTTGCTGGACAATCATCTGCGTTATTTTGTCATCAGAGAAGCATAACAAGTGTACCTCATTGAACGATTACACACCCACAAGCTCCCTAGCTAGAGCTAAGGTGGAAGAATGGTAACCGCCATTACCGGACTAGTCTAGAAAGCAGCTTCATCTGCAAAACAATTGAAGCTTCGTCACCCTGTTTGAGGTGGCGAAGTCTAGGGGTTGGTTTGGGAATTGATTTTTCCCTATGTGTTGCCCCACTCACGAAGAAGCACATGAGTAAAAGAACCCAAATGCAACACACATAGAACCCCCCCTCAAGATACCCAATCAAAACGCCGAGTCAAGACACCCCATCTCGTTCACACTGCGATATCTGGCGATTTTGGATACTGGTGCCTCGAAAAGCATTCATCATTTCTTTATTCTTTTCACCGGTAGTTTGCACTCGTGCTCACGCGAGTAGGCATGCACCCACCAATCCCTTCGCGCGAGTTGACGAACGCTCCTTAGGTTCGTTCCGCAGGTCTGCAGTCCCGATAAAACCCAGTAGGAAGTCGTTTCGAGCATCCATAAGCCGACTCTTATCTACTAGCATCTTCGTAGTGTTTTCTGTACCATATTATTTCGTCACGGGCTGATTAGAGAGCATTGGCGTCGAAGGATTGGTGCAGTGCAAGCTTCTAATACAGATGCAATCTTAAACTCAACGACGACTCGCAGGCATGCTTCGTCCTTTCAGAAACGCCCGGCCTCCGCATACGAGAAATACTTACTTTCCACCCGTCCTGATCTTAGCCTCCCTCTTCATTATCGTCCTCTCGTTCTTGTCACAATCATCTCCCGTTACAGCCCGGTCCGTTCCGCGAAACCTGCACCTCGTGTGCGAGCCGGGATGCCTGCACAACGGCACGTGTAAGCTGAGCCCTAAGACCAAGGAGCCCGAGTGCGTCTGTCAGCCGTACGATCACGAGACCGGGCTGTACTTCCGCGGGAAATCGTGTCAAACGGAGGCCGTACGATGCAACGCTACGTGGTGGTGCGAGAACGGCGGGAGATGCGTCGCGATGGGCGCTCAGGGTTTCCTCTGCTCGTGCGCACATAAGTTCCAGGTGGGTGGCAAGGAGGAAAACAGGGTTTCCTCTGCTCGTGCAGGTTTCGCGGAACGGAAAAAGAGGCATGAGAAGGGTGCGCCCTGATCAAATATTTACTAAGTTCCCTGTTCCTCTGCTCGTGCCCACACAAGTCCCAGGTAATCGGCGAAAGACGTGAAAGCGGGTTCCTGTGTTTCCGGAAAGTCGCAAGCGGGTCCCCTTTCGTACCCACATAGGTTCCCGGAAAGTTGCAAGGGGCGTAAAAAAAGGGTTTGTGTTCCTGCGTCCCTGTGGTTTCAAGGTGACTTTTGAGTCGACTCAAAAGTCACCTCGTTTGTGTTCCTGCGTCACTGTGGTTCTCCCCCATCATCCGCCTTCCCCACCCCCCCCCCCCTTTTCCCCCCCGGCTCTCCCTTCCCCCATTTTCCTGCTCCAACTTCAGGGCAGAAAGTGGCAGACGCTCGTAGTCGCCTGTAGCACTGGCCTGTAGTGGGTGGGCTACGGGGGGTGTGTGCGTGTTGTCGCGTCTGGACCTTCTGATCCATTGTCTCTTTCTCCACTCACCACTCCTCTTTCCGTTCCTCACCATCCCACCACTCCCCCTTCTCCTTCGCCCTACACCTGCTCTAATCTCAGGGCTCCCAGTCCCAGATGCCTGTGGTCGACGGTAGTTGACTTTTGAGTCGACTGAGTTGACTATTGAGTCGACTCAATAGTCAACTCCCGCTTCTCCTTCCCCCTACTGCTCTAATCTCAGGGCTCCAAGTCCCAGGTGCCTGTGGTCGCTGTTAGCACTGGGCTGTGGTGGGCTACGGGGGGTGTGCGCGTGCTCTCGCATCTGGACTTTCTAATAGGTTTTCTCTTTTGCCCCTCACCACCCCACTTTTCCTTCCTCCCCCCATCCTCCCCCCTCTTCTCCCCCGCCTCCCCCCTCTCTCCTCCTCCCCCCCCCCCCGCCCCCCACCCACTCCTCGAAGGTCTTCCTGCGTTTGCCGCTGCTTCTCTGGTCTCTCTTGCTCCCATCGCAGGGCTCCAAGTGCCAGACGCCCGCGGTGGCCTGTAGCACGGGTCTCTGGCGCGTCAATGGAGGCATGTGTGTGTTCTCAGCGTCAGCATATTTCAAAGTTCAAACCTTTGCCTTTCTTTCTTTCCCCGCCCCTACTTGTGTTCCCAACTTCAGGGCTCCAAGTACCAAACACCCGTGGTGGCCTGTAGCACGGGTCTCTGGTGCGCCAATGGAGGCATGTGTGTTCTCTTCTCAGCGTCAGCACATTTCAGAGAGCAAACCATTGTCTTTCTTTCTTTCCCCACCCCTACTTGTGTTCCCAACTTCAGGGCTCCAAGTGCCAAACACCTGTTGTCGCCTGCAGCACGGGGCTCTGGTGTGCCAACGGAGGCATGTGCGTGTTCTCAGAGGAAGCCAACGCCACCATCTGCAAATGTCCCTCCACCCATACTGGTGCCAGCTGTCAAACCCTGGTGGAGGCACAGGATTTCGGTGAGTGCCAATGGAGGTACGTGTGTCTCTGGTGCGCTAACGAGGGCATGTGTGTGTTTTCAGAGGAGGCCAACGCCACCATCTGCAATTGCCCCTCCACTCATACTGGCGCCAGCTGCCAAACCCTCGTGGAGGCTCAAGATTTTGGTGAATGCAGATCTTGATATATCAACTCCACCACTGGGGATTGCTATAACGAGTACGTGTGTTCTCAGAGGAAGCCAACGCCACCATCTGCAAGTGCCCCTCTACGCACACTGGGGCGAGCTGTCAAACCCTGGTCGAGGCACAGGATTTCGGTGAGTGTAGGACATGAAGGACTCGTTGCTCGGGGGCTGATCATAATAACGAGCTTGCAGCTTTCTACCCGTTTTCTTTGTTCGGGGGCTGATCATAATAACGAGCTTGCAGCTTTCTACCCGTTTTCTTTGTTCGGGGGCTGATCATAATAACGAGCTTGCAGCTTTCTACCCGTTTTCTTTGTTCGGGGGCTGATCATAATAACGAGCTTGCAGCTTTCTACCCGTTTTCTTTGTTCGGGGGCTGATCATAATAACGAGCTTGCAGCTTTCTACCCGTTTTCTTTGTTCGGGGGCTGATCATAATAACGAGCTTGCAGCTTTCTACCCGTTTTCTTTGTTCGGGGGCTGATCATAATAACGAGCTTGCAGCTTTCTACCCGTTTTCTTTGTTCGGGGGCTGATCATAATAACGAGCTTGCAGCTTTCTACCCGTTTTCTTTGTTCGGGGGCTGATCATAATAACGAGCTTGCAGCTTTCTACCCGTTTTCTTTGTTCGGGGGCTGATCATAATAACGAGCTTGCAGGTTTCTACCCGTTTTCTTTGTTCGAGGGCTGATCATAATAACGAGTGCGTGTTCTCAGATCAGAGGAAGCCAACGCCACCATCTGCAAGTGCCCCTCCACCATCACTGGTGCGAGTTGTCAGATCAGATCAGAGTCAGACCCTCATGGAAGCGTGAGCTAAGGGGAGTAGCACGTGAGACAGTAGCACGACTGGGGTGGGTGCTAGTGGTGCTGGTAGTAGGAGTCTTGGCTGCTTGGGGGAAGAGCCAACGCCACCATCTGCGAGTGCCCCTCCACTCCACCCACACGGGCAGCACAAGCCGCCAGACCTTCATGGAACTTCAAACTGATCTGACCTGACCATCTGCGAGTGCTTGTAGATCTGATCTGACCTGACCTGACCTAGCTATCTGCTCTCCGCGTGGGTCTTCTTGATGTGCCTCGGCTCTCCCTGCTTCTGACTGCCTTCCCCTGCCGTCTTTCGGTCTGCCGTCTTCACCCCCCGCTGCGTCCCCACACCCTCCAGGTCCATCGGAGCAGCTGAGGACCAACTTCACCTCGCCGCTCATCATCCCATCCAACTCCACACTCGACCTCCTAGTCGACGAGCGGGACCAATACTTCCACACCGTCTTCACCCCCCGCTGCGTCCCCACACCCTCCAGGTCCATCGGAGCAGCTGAGGACCAACTTCACCTCGCCGCTCATCATCCCATCCAACTCCACACTCGACCTCCTAGTCGACGAGCGGGACCAATACTTCCACACCTTCTTCGCCCTCCTCGGCGCCCTCGTCTTCGTGTGGCTCGTCTCGCTCTGCTTCGTGTACCACTCGCGCGAGCGCAGGCGCAGCAGCAGAGCCATTGCTGTGGTCGGGGTGCTGGAGGCTCCTCCTCCTTCCAGATTGCACAAGCAGCAGCAGCAGCAGCTACTGCTGCAGAAAAAGAAGCAGCAGAAGCAGTCACAGCAGCAGAATGGGAAGGTGATTGGGACTCAGGAGAATGAGCAGGACAAGCAGCACCTATCGGGCAGGGATTTCGGCTCGACTGAAGGTCCCTTGGTGCAAACGTGCTCGTCCTCCTCTGCTGTCCTCTCCTCTGTTCCGGTTCGCCGGAATCCCAGTAGCGGCAATAGTGGTGGCAGCAGCAGCAACAACATTGCTGATTCAAGTGCCATGGGTAATGTTGCTGTAAGTAGCAGCAGCAGCAGTAGCGTGGGAAACCACCAGCACCACCAGCAGCACCAACAGCACCAACAGCAACAGAAGTTGCATCAGCAGAAGCAGCATGGGACAGGATACGTGCCTCCAGAAATTACACAAGACATGGGGAATGGAAGCGGTGGGGACAGTATTGGAGAGCACGGGGATGCAACAGATGCAGAGGTGGCAGCTCTTTTTGCTGTTCCACAGGGTTCCTCTGCTGCTGCTGGTCCATCTGTTGTCCTCCTGGCAGCAGCAGAAGCAGCTGCAGACGATGCTTTTGGGCACAGTGCTGCAGCAGCAGGAGTGGCAGCTCTAGGAACAGCAGCAGGAGACGGAGCTGTTGGAACTGCAGCCGGTGCAGAAGCAGCAGCTGCATCAGCATCAGCAGCAGCAGCAGCAGCAACAGCTGTGGAAGCAGATTCAAGGTCTCTGCTATTGAGCTCGCTCTCGTCTCTTATTCAAGGGGTAGACTCGAGCAGTCAAATGAACGGCTCAGATTGCGAGCGGGATGCGGAGTCTCGAGTGATGGATTCGCTGCCAGGGGGCGGAGTGGGAGAGGGTGATATGGCGGAAGTGCTGCTGAGCCATGCTGGTGAGGAGAGCAGCAGTGGTGGTATCATGAAGAGTTCCAGAAGAAAACGTGCAGGCACAGGGGATGACGTCAGGCTACTTCTTTAGACTCCTACAAAGACTCGGACAATATGAATTGAAATTGATGATATACTTATCGTAACACATGTAATGTGTAATAGCTGAAGTATAAGGACTCTAAAGAGTCCAGCTCATATTGTAATGGGTGCACTAAAACAGTGTGATAATCACGCTCTGGTGGCGTGCGTTTTCTTATTGGCGAAACTCACTGGCAGGTCCGAACGAAACCACTAATGTCAGGGATGCTTCCCGTCCGAGCCGTCAACCGAACCAGACCAGGGAAATGCCGAACCAGAAATCTTGAGATTGCCGTGCAGAAGACCTGCGAGGCCCTGACATGAACACGCGCCTTGAGATTGCCGCGAAGCGAACAGCTCCGGGAATACACCTACCCCCATTGCGTTTTGGTGGGATTCAATGAGTTTATACTAATTCCCTATTGAATATACAACGGTTCATTTTATTGAGGCCTGGTAAGATCGAATGTCTTCGTTCCATCGCAGGTACCTACTCGTCTGCTGGGTGCGTTGCGATCCAGAACGGTTAAGAAGAAAACGGATCTGCACCGTGTGAAAACCTACTGAACCGCACTGAACGATCATCCGACGAATGCTTGAAATACCCTTTTATCCATCATTCACATCACACGATTCCTAGATTCCTCCTTCAGTGAAGCAGCACTCCGCTCTATGCTCGCCGTGTTTCACGGGATTCTCACTGCCTGCTCTCCGTTGTCTGTGTTGAATTCCACTCCATTCTCTTTGCAAGGAACGAGTTCCGTGACTTAGAAGCTATCGCGGCATCGTTTCTGCTCAGCTTTCTCGCATTCTTCCTGTTTTTTTTTCCTAACAGCAACTTAGAAATTGGTGTCTGTGAACAGCATCGCCAATAACTACTCATCCAAAGCTCATCTATATGTAGAATAGTTCCTCTTCTGTGCCGGATTTAAGTTATCGGCACCTCGTTCAGACACGTTTTCAGGCGCCTCGGAGTTCCACTCCTAAGCGCGGCATCGCGTGGATTGACGTTTCCCATCTGCAAAATTAGAGTTTGGATACGAAATCCGACTTGTTCCGTCTGCTGACTCGCGGCTGCACCTCTCGTCTTCTGACCCACGTCTGCTGACCACGTCTGCTGACAATGGAGCAGAACATTCTATCAGGATTAGACCAGAGCCTGCGTGGTTCCATGCAGAACCATTCCGGGCAGTTCGGAATGCCGAACCAGGCCGGGCAGTTCGGGATGCCGAACCAAGCCGGGCAGTTCGGGATGCCGAACCAGGCCGGGCAGTTCGGGATGCCGAACCAGGCCGGACAGTTCGGCATGGCGAACCAGAGTGGGCAGTTTGGAATGGCGAGCCTTAACGGGCATTCGGGACCCGCAGAACCGGCAAGGCATCTGGGATTGGGAGAACCGACAAGGCTTTCCGGTTCGCCGGATCCCGCCAAGCAACGAGCGATGTCCGTTCAAATGGAAGCGTGGGGCGGCTCCGCCTCTCAAAGGGTGAGTGATTAACTCTTTTGATACGCAGTGAATCGACTCGGTACGCAGTGAATTCGACGATTCTATTACGCGATGGATGCAATCTGTGCGCAACGCATTCTTCCACTCGCTGGATCACTGTTGAGAGTTCTAAGAGAGGGACATTCCGCTGATGATTCCGCCAGGCTCTCCGGTCTCCAGATGTCCAGATCTTCAAAACTCCGGAATTCCGCCTATCAGCGTGTTTCCAACTAGGACTCAACCCCCCGAACCGAATGGCAATGAAGCCTCACAATGCTGCCTTGCGTGTGTGTGTGTTTTATTTTCCGAAGTTTGTTGCAGTTTTTCTTTCCAGGAGCTTCCCTTTCCCAATCCCCTCTCTTCCCCTCCCCACTCCCTCCCCTCTCCCTGCCTCCCTCGCGCCCGTGTGCTCAGTCCGCCCCCCAAGTAGCAGCCCCGCCGCTGGCAGACGGGCAGCTGACTCAAGTGCCCTTGGACAACCAGCCAAGGAGTAGCCAGGAGAGCCAGGAGCGCGCACCCAAGGAGCAGCAGCTGCACGCCACGGAGACGAGCCTGAGGACAAAGGAGGAGGAGCTGAGAAGGAGGTAGAGATTCGCATTCTCAGTTCCCTCGCCCTCCCCTCTCCCTCCTCTCTCCCTCCCCTCTCCCACCCCTCTCCCTCCCTTCTCCCTCCTCTCGCCCCCTCTCGGTGTGCTGCTCGCTCAGTCCGCCCCCCCAGTGGCGGCGCCGCCGCTGGCAGACGGGCAGCTGACGCAGGTACCCTTGGACAATCCGGCGAGCCAGGAGCGCGCAGCCAAGGATCAGCAGCTGCACGCCACGGAGACGAGTTTGCGCAGCAAGGAGGAGGAGCTGAGGAGGATGCAGGAGGCGGTTGAAAAGCGCGTGGCGCATCAGGTGACGCGCGTGGCGCAGGAGGCGAAGAAACTGGAGCAGCTGCGGAAGGTGAGGGACAGGGGGAATGTGGGAGGTGGTAGGTAGGAGCAGCAGCTGCACGCCACGGAGTCGAGTTTGTGCAGCAAGGAGGGGGAGCTGAGCAGGATGCAGGAGGCGGTGGAGAAACGCGTGGCACAGCAGGTGACGCGCGTGGCACAGGAGGCGAAGAAGCTGGAGCAGCTGCGGAAGGTGAGAGAGGGGGGGATGGAGTGTTGTGACTTGGTCAGAGAGTCGACTCGTTAGGCAGCAGGTGACCCGCGTGGCGCAGGAGGCGAAGAAACTGGAGCAGCTGCAGAAGGTGAGGGAGGGGGGGATGGAGTGTTGTGACTTGGTCAGAGAGTCGACTCGTTAGGCAGCAGGTGACCCGTGTGGCGCAGGAGGCGAAGAAACTGGAGCAGCTGCGGAAGGTGAGGGAGGGGGGGATGGAGTGTTGTGACTTGGTCAGAGAGTCGACTCGTTAGGCAGCAGGTGACCCGTGTGGTGCAGGAGGCGAAGAAACTGGAGCAGCTGCGGAAGGTGAGAGACAAGGGGAATGTGGGGGGAAGAGTTGGTGGGGAGGGATGGAGTGTTGTGACTGCCAGTGAGTCGACCTGTTAGACAGCAGGTGACCCGCGTGGCGCAGGAGGCGAAGACGACTCAAAACACGACTCATTACACAGGGCCCGGGGGGTGTTGGTGGGGGGGGAAGATGGGGTGGAAAATTGGCTAAGACCCGGCCAGTGAGTCGACTCATCATGCAGCAGGTGACGCGCGAGGCAGGAGGTGAAGAAAGTGGAGCAGCTCAGGATGGTAGGGTCCGGGGGGGGAGGAGGGGAAGTTGGTGTGGAGGGATTACTGTAACCCGCCTGACTCCCTTTTCCGTGATCCCCCTTCCCCTTTCCGTGGTCCCCCTTCCCCTTTCCGTGGTCCCCCTTCCCCTTTCTGTGATCCCCCTTCCCCTTTCCGTGATCCCCCTTCCCCTTTCCGTGGTCCCCCTTCCCCTTTCCGTGGTCCCCCTTCCCCTTTCCGTGATCCCCCTTCCCCTTTCCGTGATCTCCCTTCCCCTTTCCGTGGTCCCCCTTCCTTAACTTACACCTCTCCCTCCTCGTTCTCACGAATCAGGAGTTGGAGACAGTAGAGGATCCGACCAAGAAGGAAGTGGCGAATGGTTGTACTCTCTGCCCCTCAGCTGACCTTATTCCCATACATATGACCCTCACCTTTCTCCCTGTTCCTCCGCTATAAGCCCATCAGGAGCCGGAGACAATAGAGGACCCGGAGGGCGGATGGTGCTGCCTCTGCTCCTCTACTCTCAACTCAACCCGGCCGTCTTTCGCCCTTGTTCTCCCTTTGTATATCTGTCAGGAGTTGGAAACAATAGAGGACCCCACCAAGAAGGAGGTGGCGGATGGCTATACCCGCTGCTCCTCTCCCCACCTCTCTTCCCCTTGCCTTCAACCCCCCTTTTCCCCCTTCTTCTCCCTATCCGAACCATCAGGAGCTGGAGACAATAGAGGACCCGACCAAGAAGGAGGTGGCGGATTTGAGGAAGCGGATTGAGCTGGTGGATCGGGAGCTCAGGCCCATGCGTGCTCTGGTGGAGAGGAAGGTGGGTGTGTGGGAGGGTTTGTGTGGTCACACAGGCTGGGGCTTTGATGCATGTGTGATGCAAGGAGTCTGAGCTGATGGGATCTGAGGAAGCGGATCGAGCTGGTGGATCGGGAGCTCAGGCCCATGCGTGCTCTGGTGGAGAGGAAGGTGAGTGGGAGGGTATTTGTGTGAAAGGGAAAGGGGCGGATGCGTGGTGTGGTGATGCAGGTAGGGTCTGCAATGCATATGCTGCAGATTGGGGTTTGAGGAAGCGTATACAGATGGTGGATCAGGAGCTCAGGCCCATGCGTGCTCTGGTGGAGAGGAAGGTGAGTGATGCGTGGTGATGTGTGGTGATGTGTGGTGATGCATGGTACCCAACCCAGCGCCCAATGCCCCATGTCCCGAACGTACCCAGTGCCCCTTGTCCCCCACGTGCCCGATGCCCCTCGGTCCCCACATGTCCCTCGGCCCAATGCCATGCATGCCCCCCACGTGCCCAGTGCCCCATGTCCCCCCGCCCGATGCCATGCATGCCCCCCACGTGCCCAGTGCCCCATGTCCCCCCGCCCGATGCCCCACGCCCCATACCCCATGCCTGGCCTGGATGCCCTGTGCCCGATGCCCGCTTGCCCCATGCTCCATCCATGGCAGGAGAAAGAGCTGAAGGATGCAACCATGGGGTACAACAACAAAAAGAACGGAATGACTCATGAGTTGCGTCAAATGCCCCGCATGCCCCTAACCCGTGCTCCATGCCCCGTGCCCATAATCCCTGCCACAGGAGAAGGAGCTGAAGGATGCAACCACGGCATACAACAACAAGAACGCACAGAAGTCGGAGCTGGTTGGGAAGCTTTTCGAGGTGAGCAGCATTTTGGGAATCCCCAGAGACATGCCTGCAGCTACAGGGTGTTATTAAGAAATCTCAAAAACACCGTGAAGCTGGTCCCGTGTGAGTATCGGGAATCCACACGTTTTGCCCCATTCAGAGCTCCAAAGAGTTTGAACCCAGTGTGCCTCCCACCCAGCGACGATTTTTTAGGAGCCTCAAAAATAATCTCAAAAACTCTGTGAAGCTGGTCCCGTGTGTGTGAGTGTAGGGAACCCACACGTTTTGCCCCATTTAGAGTTCCAAAGAGTTTGAACCCAGTGTGCCTCCCACCCAGTGTCACCTATTGTGACACCCAGTGTGTCACCTAGTGTGATGGGATGACCGGCAACGGCTGGCGTGGCCACACTTGTTGGGCGGCAGGCCATGGCAGGTGGTGTTCAAGCCATCCCCTTCACATCCTACCCACCCGTCCCCACCTGATCCGCTGTATGTGGTTGTGACAGAGAGCAGCGGCAGCGGTTGGCCATTGGAAGAGATCACGACGTTGCTAACTTATAGAGTCAACCCCTTCACATGTTCACATCCCCTCATCTTATCTCTCGCTCCCCTCGTTTTATCCCTATGACCGCATCAGATTGTGACGAAGAGTGAGCGGCAGCGGCTGGGCAAGCTGGAAGAGATAACCACGCTGCTGACTTGTAGAGGCATCCCTTTCACACCCTCCCCACCCCACCCTCATCCCTTCTCCCTTCTCCCTTCTCATCCCTTTGAGCACATCAGATTGTGACGGAGAGCGAGCGGCAACGGCTGGACAAGCTGGAGGAAATAACCACGCTGCTGACGCAGATGGAGCGGAAAGAAGGGGGGCAGTGAGCGGGGGGAGTGGGGGAAAGTGGGGTCGCCAGGGTAGTTGCTTTCGAGTTGTCCTAAAAGAATGGCTGGGCAAGCTGGAAGAGATTACAGCATCGCTGACGCAGATGGAACGGAAAGAAGGGGGGCAGTGAGCCAAGGGAAACGACTGAGCTAGGGTAACAGAGCTTTGAAGGGGAGGGGGGCTCTGTTCTAGGCGCTTATATATCAGAGCTGAAGAATATAGCTGTACTGCTGATGCAGTTGTAGTGGAAAGAGGGGCGGCAGTAGTGTGGGGAAGAAATGTAGTTATTGAAGTAAGCAACAGGATCGAACTGGGTGCACATATGAGTGCTGTGGTGTGGCCACAAGACATGCTTGCATACCTGAGATCCTGATGAAGACGATTCGATTGCACGGAGGCTGGATGATCCACTGGGTTCCGTTTTCAAATCTTATTTTGGCCGCCGTATCGCACCCTGATGTGGTGTTCGATCAGGCACCACATTGAGGTGGGTGGAGGTTCTGCTGCTTAGGTTTGTTTGGATGTGTTGATTGTTATTAGAGGTTATTTTTCTCTCTCTACAGCTTCGGAGGGGAAAATGTTCATCGTGGTGATGTAGCATGTCATTAGCTTCGTCGATGCTAGTAACATCCAAATTGTTATTTTCGGTTTTCATATATTGTGGTGCAACTTTGTGGCAGTAATGAAATGGCATGTGTTGTGTTTACATTTCGATCTCGGAAGATTTGTTCCCGCAACGAGGAAATGCATAACGAGTGTTTCTCGAGTTTTCCCATTTTTCTTCGCCTTCCACAAGTTGCTCCTCCACTTTCCTTCACTCACTGAACCTCGCTATAGGCAACCGGTGTAGCATTCTTATTAGCGACTGCACCTCGCTTTAGGTTATGGCTTTAGCATAGCATTCAGTCCTAGCATCTCCGCTGTCTCCTTGCGCTCATATCTTTCACTTTCTCCATTGCATACGCGTCGTGGTTTTCTTTTTTCTTATTTTTTCCAGACGCACCACCTCACAAGCGCCTTTCTCGGTCATCATCACAGCCGTTGATCTGCATTCATCAATTTCATTCCGCCACCAGGCGGCGTGTACCGGAACGTGTTTTGGTAGCAGCGGAGGTTCCACCAGTCATTCTTTGTGCGCTTTTTAGAACCGATTTGCACCCCGTTACGAGCACGTTCCGCGAGCACAATACGCGAGCACGTTCCGTCTATTCGCTTATCGAACCTGGCGGCGTTGATGTCGATTCAAATGGCGGCGGCTGCGGCGGCGGCGGACGCGCAGAATCGGGCCTCGAGAATACCGAACCTGGCTCGAGCCGCGGCGCCCATGATGGTCGTGCCGCATCAGCCAATCGTCGTGGACCGCGAGAAGGTGCGCGCTTCGGTGTTGACTGTTTCTGGGTGGGTTAAGGTGCGCCCTTCTCCAATCGAAGATGATCCCGATATTGTTAACCATTGGGCTGCGAGTAGATGCAAGATGCAATTAGTTGTGCATTGATGGGGTGGGAGAATATATTTAAAGTGGGAATTGTGGGGCAGTCTAATTTTGTGTGCCAGGAACCCTACTGTCACATATTCCGCTGCTGAAATTCACTTTCCTCCCCCATGCCCGTTCCTTTTCCCTTCTCGTTTTTTCCTCATGCGTTTTTTATTCCCCTGCCGGTGGTCACTCAAACTTTTTTTTCCCTCTCCCCCTCCCCCCCTCCCCTCCCCTTCCTACCCCCCTTTCAAACCCATTCTGTTTATCTCTTGGAAACAGACGTGTCCGCTGCTGCTACGAGTATTTCACAAGGTTAGTTAAAGGCAAAGCTTAGGGACAAAGGAAATAAGGATGTTACTTCCTTGTCATGTAACCATCCATGCGGCCATACTACAGAAGCCATCCCCATGCTGAGTAGCCAACCCATGCCGTGTGGTAACCATCCCCATCTGGCAATGCCAATTTTCACCATTGCTCCCTACGTGCTCCCCTTTCTGAGAGTGTTACCCCTTTTTTAATATGGCATCCCTTTTCGACTATGTCACCCCTTTTCGAATATGGCATCCCTTTTCGAATATGGCATCCCTTTTCGACTATGGCATCCCTTTTCGAATATGGCATCCCTTTTCGAATATGGCATCCCTTTCCGAATATGGCATCCCTTTTCGACTATGGCATCCCTTTTCGAATATGGCATCCCTTTTCGAATATGGCATCCCTTTTCGAATATGGCATCCCTTTTCGACTATGTCACCCCTTTTCGACTATGGCACCCCTTTTCGACTATGGCACCCCTTTTCGACTATGGCACCCCTTTTCGACTATGTCACCCCTTTTCGACTATGTCACTTCTTTTCGACTATGTCACCCCTTTCCCAGTACGACCCCTTTCCCGATATACCCCTTTCCCAATATGTCACTCCTATGTCAGTCCTTTTTCAATATGTCATGTCCCTCTGCCCGTTTACATGACACCGTGAGATTGTCTTTCTGAGTTCCCTCACCTCTTTCCCCCCCTTCCAAAATAATGAGAGATGTGTTGAATTTTGAGGCGCCTCAAAATACACCTCTTTCCCCCCCTTCCAAAACAATGAGGAGAGATGTGTTTACTGATCTCGTTTCTCATTTCCTCCTTTCGTTCTCGTGTTTCCATTGTGTTCTTGCAAATAGCAGCACGGATCAGATCTGGACGCCTCTGCACTGCAGTGAGAGGGGCAGGAGCCCAAGGAGAGATGAGTTGAGTCGTCTCCTTCTCTCCCTTTCTCCCTTTCTCCTCATGTTTCCCTACTGCTCTTGTTGCAAATAACAGCACGGATCAGATTTGGACGCCTTTGCAGGGAGAGGGGCGGGAGCCAAAGGAGGGATGCATTGTCTGATCTGATTTTTATTTTTTCGCTTTCTCCCCTTCCGCCTTGTGTTTTGTGCCCTTGTTGTCACTAACAGCACGGGGGGCATCACGATTTGGAAGCATTCGCAACGAGAGGGCAGGAGCCCAAGGAGGAGGTGCAGATGTACACGTGGAAGGACGCTACCCTGAGAGAGCTGACAGATTTGGTGAGTGTTCACTGAACATTCATGCTGAGAGAAGGTGCCAGTGTGTCACGTTGAGAGGGCAGGAGCCCAAGTAGGAGGTGCAGATGTACACGTGGAAGGACGCTACCCTGAGAGAACTGACCGATCTGGTGAGTGTTCACTGAACATTCATGCTGAGAGAAGGTGCCAGTGTGTCACGTTGAGAGGGCAGGAGCCCAAGTAGGAGGTGCAGATGTATCCCTGAGAGAGCTGACCGATTGGTGAGTGTTCAGCAAAGAATATAAAATAGAGTCTTATTCCTCACTGTCACCATCTTACAATGTCCCGTGACCATCAAATCCCACTGGTAACAGTTTCTTCCGTCTGATTAAACAAAGTCACAACCCATCTCAAAGCAGCATTCCATCTACCCCCGTGGCACATGTCCTTTCCATCTAGTCTCTCTGCTCTCCTCTACCCCCACACACACGTCCTCTCTGAAGTGCCTTTTGTTCTACCCCTGTACTCGTTATTGGCTGTTTCAGTTGAAGGAGGTGGTGCCAGAGGCCCGTCGGAGGGAGGCTCGGTTGTCGTTTGCGTTTGTGTATCCGAATAGACAGGGGAGGAACGTAATGAAACAGGTGAGAGCGGGGGGAGGAGAGGAGGAAGGTAGGAACGTCAGAGGGACGCTAGGTGGTGCCCGAGGCCCGTCAGAGGGACGCGCGACTATTGTTTGCATTCATGTATTTGAATAGACAGGGGAGGAACGTGATGAAACAGGTGAGGGGGAGGAAAGAATAAAATGTTTTCATGCGAAAATATGTTGGCTTTCATGGTGGTTTCCAAAAAAAGAAACTGGCATTCGCATGCTACGTTTTTTTACGAGCCTGTTGAGTGACAAACATGTCCCAAACCTAAGTTGGAATAAACGCGTTTAGCGTTTTGTACGCTCTCGTATATACACGAGAGTATATACGCTAGGACGCTGGCCATGAGGGGTCTGGTACGCACAAGAATACGCTTGCCCGGGCAGGGAAAAACTTTTTTTCGGGCAGATTTTTGGGGTAAGAGGTGGGGATGGGGGGGTGATGTCCGCTTATTAATATGAACGTTACAGAAAAAAAACCCGTAAAACTAATTTACCACTACATCTTCCTCCACCACATTCATGCTACCACCCCTCCCCCTACTCAACATGTCCATCCTTAATCCCCCGCCTGCCGCTCATGCATGGAGCCTTCCGCTAGTACTCATCGGCCATCACATCATCCTCCCCCACCTCAGGTTCTTCCACCTCCTCCTCGACGTTGTAGCTAGTCGGAGTGGGGGGGTCCTCGATGTTTCCCTTCACCACCCGCTGCCCTTCAGGGACCTTGTGCCAGTTATGCACAACCTGCCAATTGTGCGTCACGTACACGAGGTCCCGAAGCTTCTCCGCGTCGAGCCGGTTCCGGCGTGCTGTATGCACGGCATCAAACTTCGCCCAGTTCCGCTCGCATGGTGACGCGGACACCGGCTGCGTGAGGGCGCGGCAAGCCATGGTGGTGAGCTCCGGATGTTCGGTCCCGTGCCACGACCACCAGGCCGCGGTCATCTTGCCCTCCTTCACTGCCTCACGGTCGGCAAGAGCGGCGGGCATGTCGAAGCTGCCTTGGAGGTTGAGGAAGGCGTTGAGGCCTTCCTGGATGACGAGAGAGGCGCGGCGCTCGACCCCGTCCTTCTTGGTGACCGTCTGGTCGTCGTAGTGCTTGGACACGTACTGTTTGAAGACCCTCGTGCACTCCAGGTCGGTGCGGAAGATGCCCTCTTCCTGGTTGGTCGGGTTAAGGATGCGGCCAACCACGTGCATGTTGCACGCCAGCCCATTGTCCCAGCGGGCCTGCACGATCTTCTGAATCTCCCCCACCTCTCCCCTTGACAGGACCCCTTCCGCATGCTTGTCAAGGAAGTCGCGGATGTCCTCGGTGAGTTGGAGCATAAGGTCGTAGAGACGGCCCATCATGCCCTTCGCATCCGAGTCAGTCTTGCGCATGACGACGAACGGGAGCTTCATCAGCTTCGCAAAGAACTCGGCGCTCATCCACCACGTGGCATCGAGGATGTTGTCTTTGAAGGTATCTGCCCCAACCCTCTTTGCAGCCGTTGTCCACTCGCACCACTCATCGCTGAGGACCATCTGCGTCAGGCCGGCGCGCACTTCACAGAGGCGGTTAATGGCGATGTAGTTGGTGCCGAATCGGGTTCCCGCGGGCTTGAGAACCTGCTTCCCCTTGCCGCCGTTCATGAGCTCGCTCCGCATGTATCCACGGGTGAAGTGATGGTTGCGGACGAACGAGATGAGGGTGTCCCCGCGCGTGACGATGTCCTTCCCCCATCCCATTTTCCCGATGTCCTCCATCAAGAGATCAAGGACATGGGTCGCGCAAGGGATGTGTTCGATGTGGGGATACTCCGTCATCAACTCCCTGCATGCCGCCGCGTAATTGGAGCCGCCGTCAAAACACAAGGCGACGACGTTCTCGGAGCCAACTTTCTCGATGATGGGGCGCAAGATGCCCGCGACGTAGCCGCCGGTCTTCATCTCCATCTTGGTGTCGATCGACTCCACGAACACCGCTCCGCTATCGTTGATGAGGAGCACATTGGCTTGCGGGCGGCCGGCCTTGTCAGAGAACATGTCGCTTGCCACGGTGACACCATCACGGCGCCAGCTTGCTGAGATAGGAGCGAGAGCCGCCTCAATGCGCTGGCGCTTGAGACTACATTCCGCCACAGTGGGTGGTCCGCGTGATGCTCCGGCAGATGAAGAGCGGCGAAGAAGAGGCATATGGACTCGTCCGCAGCTTGGTTCGCGCACGCGGCGTCGTCGCCGTAGAAGTCGGACATTCGACTCTTCTTCTTGTCCGAACCTCCGCCGTTGACTGCGCCGACCGCCGCAATTTCAGCCGCACGCTTCTCTTCACGGGCCTTCAACTTGGACTCGTAAAGCGCCTTCACGGTGTCACGTGCAGTCTTCGGCGCTGCAGTGCAGAGATGCACTTCGCGACGGCGCATGCCGTTCCAGCCGGTGATATGCTGCGCGCAGCGGTAAACCCCGCCAGCGAACTTGAAGTTGCAGTAGGCACACACCTTGGTGTCGTTCTCGCCAACGCTGTCGGCCGGCACTTTGAAGTGGCGGTACACAACGTGCTTGCTGTCCATGCAGACCAAAGACGTAACAGAAGAGGTCCCTCCAGTGGAACTACCAGGAGCCTCTGAAGGTGTAGAACGAGAACTTGTTTCTGTAGGAGTAGCAGCCATGGTGGCTGGGGAGAAGAGGTAGCTAGAATAGGAAGCGAGGTTGTTTATGCCTGGGAGATTGGGTTGGGTTGAGCTCCCAACCAATAAAGTAGTGGTTGAAGGGGGCGGTGGAATGCTGTGGTTTAAAGGGGTGTGAAACAGTGGAGGGGTGGGGTTGAGGAGGTTTGGAGCTCAAAATTCAAAATTCGAGTTCAGTTCGCGACATCTGCGACTCGAAATAGAGATCGCCACGTCGCGAGATTCAGATTGAAAATTTGTTTTTTTTTTTTTCGGTCTGCCCGAAATTCTACTCGGCGAATTTTCAAATTATACGCAGCGTACGAATTCGTTAAGCGTATAAACGCAAATGCAAAGTAGCGTATATTCCAACTTAGTCCCAAACGTGTCCCAAACAATCCCTCCCGGCTACATTTTCTTCTTTCCCTCAAGCCAGTCTTTGTTACGCATCCTCCTCTCTTCACTCCATGCCTCTCTCGTCTCTTGCCCTGTGCCAGGCCGGGATTCATAATTGCATGAATTCGCAGACCAACACGACCTCTGCATCTCTCCTTGTACCTCTCCTAACCTCTTCCCTATGCTCTCTCGCTCCCATGCCAGGCCGGAATCACCAACTCAATGACGCGTAGACCAACACCGGATGACAACAGGACTCTTCATGAGCTGGGGTTTCAGGTGAGCAAGGCATGGGTGTCAACAGGACCCAGCACCGGATGACAAGACAACAGGACTCTGCACGAACTGGGTTCCAGGTGAGGTTGGCTGTTCATCAGCTTGGCATCATGGTGACATCAGCATGGCATCACGGTGACATCAAGGTGACATCAGCACGGCATCACGGTGACATCAGCATGGCATCACGGTGACATCAGCATGGCATTAGTGTGACATCAGTTTTCCTTTTCCCACCACTCCCCAACGCTTCCTGTTTTTCCCACAATTCCTTTTCACATGCAGCAAGCCGTTCATACATGGGGATTTACTCAATGTCACTATTTCCTCATGAAACACAGCACCTCCTTTCACTTCACTCCCTTTTCCCCCACATTTCCTGCTGCCCCCCACATTCCTTTTCACATGCAGCAAGCCGTTCACAGATGGGAATTTACGGAACATTTCTGTGAACATGTCTACCTCTCATGAAATGACTTTTGAGTCGACTCAAAAGTCAATTTACGGAACATTTCTGTGAACATGTCTACCTCTCATGAAATGACTTTTGAGTCGACTCAGAAGTCAATTTACGGAACATTTCTGTGAACATGTCTACCTCTCATGAAATGACTTTTGAGTCGACTCAAAAGTCAATTTACGGAACATTTCTGTGAACATGTCACCTCTCATGAAATGACCTTTGAGTCGACTCAAAAGTCAATTTATGGAACATTTCTGTGAACATGTCTACCTCCCTGTGAAGCAGAGAAACTCCTTTCACTCCACTCACTTTTCCCCCACACATGTTGACCTCCCTGCACACCTCCTACTCTCCCTTCTTGCCCCTGTTTTCCCCACCCTCCCCCCACCCCCACCCCACCCTTCTTCCCTCCCCTACAGATGGGTGATTTCCTAGATGTCGCTATCTTCACGTGAAACAACACACCGGTGGTGCCCTTCGCTGCTAGGGTAGATCGACCCGACGATAATCCTGGAAGACATTCGATCCTTGTTCCATGAGAGATTCTTAATCTAGAGCACCTTCCTCTCCCTTTCTCCGCCCCCTTCCTCTTCTCCCCTTCAACAGACGGGTGATTTCCTAGATGTCGCTATTTTCACCTGAAACAGCGTTTTTTTAGGCGCCTCAAAAGTCACCTGAAACAGCGGTGGTGCAATTTGCTGCTTGGGTCGACTCTACCTGACATTAGTGCTAAGGTTTTTGCATTGTACATGATTAATATACTACAGTACACCGGATATCAAAAGAGTGGGATATGATCAATGAATGAATCACGCCAATTCAGTTTCGTTGAAATAGCCCATACCCGACTGGGCGGTTGCAACAATCAATAACATGATATAGAAGTACTGTGAGACGAATTTTATTGCTCCAAGGCTTTTGGTTGGGTTGGGCAGGTGGTGCGATTCATGTAATCCCTAAAGTCACATAATTACCCCTCCCCTCTATAACCAAGAATTCTTCAAGTGCACTAAACTGCAAAGAACCTAACCACACCCTCCCCACCCCCAGCCCCCGCAATCCTTCCCTCCCCAACCACCTCCACCTCCACCTCTTCGAACCCCCTCCCCTCCTCCCCCCCTTCACAACAACCCCATTTCTTTGGCCCAATTTCTCTAAATAAATTATTACTGGTTTGTAGTATCAGATGAACCAGCCAAACGGTGAAAGTGCTGACGTACTGGGAGGACGGTGGAACCAACCAGTCCACCCCACTGCCGAGACGAGACTGCCCCACCTTCACACTCAATGTTGTTGCTCCTGCTGCTGCTGCTGCTGCTGCTGCTGCTGCTGCTGCTCCTGCTGCTCCTGCTGCTCCTGCTGCTCCTCCTGCTCCTCCTGCTACTCCTGCTGCTGCTGCTCCTGCTGCTCCTGCTGCTCCTGCTGCTCCTGCTGCTCCTGCTGCTGCTGCTCCTGCTGCTCCTGCTGCTCCTGCTGCTCCTGCTGCTCCTCCTGCTGCTGCTCCTGCTGCTCCTGCTGCTGCTGCTGCTGCTGCTGCTGCTGCTGCTGCTGCTGCTGCTGCTGCTGCTGCTGCTGCTGCTGCTGCTGCTGCTGCTGCTGCTGCTGCTGCTGCTGCTGCTGCTGCTGCTGCTGCTGCTGCTGCTGCTGCTGCTGCTGCTGCTGCTGCTGCTGCTGCTGCTGCTGCTGCTGCTGCTGCTGCTGCTGCTGCTGCTGCTGCTGCTGCTGCTGCTGCTGCTGCTGCTGCTGCTGCTGCTGCTGCTGCTGCTGCTGCTGCTGCTGCTGCTGCTGCTGCTGCTGCTGCTGCTGCTGCTGCTGCTGCTGCTGCTGCTGCTGCTGCTGCTGCTGCTGCTGCTGCTGCTGCTCCTGCTGCTCCTGCTGCTCCTCCTGCTCCTCCTGCTACTCCTGCTGCTGCTGCTCCTGCTGCTCCTGCTGCTCCTGCTGCTCCTGCTGCTCCTGCTGCTGCTGCTCCTGCTGCTCCTGCTGCTCCTGCTGCTCCTGCTGCTGCTGCTGCTGCTGCTGCTGCTGCTGCTGCTGCTGCTGCTGCTGCTGCTGCTGCTGCTGCTGCTGCTGCTGCTGCTGCTGCTGCTGCTGCTGCTGCTGCTGCTGCTGCTGCTGCTGCTGCTGCTGCTGCTGCTGCTGCTGCTGCTGCTGCTGCTGCTGCTGCTGCTGCTGCTGCTGCTGCTGCTGCTGCTGCTGCTGCTGCTGCTCCCCCGGACTACACAGGTCCTCCCTATGCTTTAGCTGGTGTTGCTGCTGATCCTCTCACATTCACGTCCACCCATGCCGCTGCAGTGCTGCTGTTGCCTTGTTGACTCCCCAATTCTTATTATTGCATGCACTGCTGCTGCCATTGCACCTGCCACCCGTTCACACAATCGCCTGACTGAAACTGCTGCTGCTGCTGCTGCAGCTGATGCTGCTGCTCCTCCATACACCCACACACCCACCTAGTATCCCTACTGACTGCCCTTCACCACCGCAGTGCTGCTGTTGCAATGTCCCACCCAATCCTTATTCTGACAGCCACCACTGCCGCCCTTGCACCTGCTAGCCACTCACACAATCGCCTCACTGAAACTACTGCTGCTGCTTGCCCTTATTCCACACCCTTATTAGCCTCCCCCTTATTCGTGCACTGCAATTATTCTTATCATTATTCCCATTGCACCGCCACCCACCATATCGAACCGCACCGCAGCTAGCAGCTCCTCCTTCAAATTGGCCCAGCCAAATCAGCAGCTTATTCCTGAGGCGCCTCCAAACAGAACCCCATCCACCCACCCATTGCACCGCCACGCACCATACCGAACCGCACAGCAGCTGGCAGCTTCTTCAACTTCCCTGGACAATTCTGCTGTCGGCTCAACCAAACCAGCAGCAACAGGATTCTTGCGGCGAACCAAGTGTCTCAGGGGGCTCTCATTCATTGGGAAATTAAGCGAGGTCCTAGTGAGGATCCCTGGGAAACCTGTCACTCAGGGGTTCTTTTGAAGCGCTAGAATCGCCCTTGGGACTACACCTTGGTCTCTTGAGAAACCTCCAGAAATATCGCACGCCGTCCGCCCTACTTTCATTCCGCAGCCCACCTGTTTAACACTGACAGCACCCGCCCTACTTTCGGATTATCGCACACCGTCTTCAAAAGCACGCAGATTCATCGGTCGACTTTTGAGGCGCCTCAAAAACATCGGCCGACTCTGTTCGACTCGAGCCTCTTTTGAACCTTCTCCCCCGCATCCAAATGATAAGGGGCTTGCAATGTCCGCCGCAATAAATACCCGGGAGCTGAATAATATTGCCTGATAAACCCCCTCTTGCACTGGCCCTTCCTCTCCCATCTCCCTTCCTCACAAGCCGCCCTCTCTCCCCCCATCCCTGCTTCACATGTCTTTTGAGACGTCGCAAGTCATCTTACACTGGCCCTCCCTCCCCCCACCCCATCTTTTTCCCCATCCCTTCCCCTATTTTCCCAGTCCTGCCCGTTTTGACTCGCACACCCATCCTATTGTTCGCTACCACGTCTCCTCGCATAGTGTTCGATTCGTCTCCAGGCCCTATGCTACCTCTGAGGCGCCTCAAAACGACTTTTCAGACGCCTCAAACCCCGTTTTGACTCGCGCACCCATCCTATTGTACTGAGTATTCGATTCGCCTCTAGGCCCTATGCTACCTCCCCCAATGACATCCCTCCCCCAGCCACTACCTCCCCTCATGCCGCCCCTGCCCCAGTTGCTACCTTCCCCATGCTGTCCCTCCCCCACTTGCTACCTCCCCAAGCACCTCCCTCCCACAGTTACTACCTCCCCCCATGCCTCCCCTCCCCGTCACTACCTCCCCCCATGCCTCCCCCTCCCCCAGTTGCTACCTCCCCCCATGCTGCCTGGGCGCTTGTGGGCGCACAGGGGTCTTAGAAGGACTCACCCTGATGGAGGAAAGGGTTGGGAGGGGTGGGGAGCGGTGGGGGGAAGGAAGGGGGGTTGGGGGGCGTGGGGGGGGAAAGGAGAAAAGGGGGGGGGAGATGGGGAAAGGAATAACGAAGGAGTCTTTTTGAAAATGGTGGGGGGCATGCTTGTATGACATTCCACGTGAAGAGAGGGTATTTTTGAGACGTCTCAAAAATGGTTAGGGGCATGGTTGTATGACTTTCCCAAGACATACCTGGTTAGGAGCGGGCATTTTTATGTTAAGTTCAATTCAACAGACAAGCGATTTCAGTCTGAGGGTGCGGTACTGTGGAGCAGTGCAGAGTGGTGCAGATTGGTGCAGAGTGGTGCGGAGAGGTGTGGAACAGACCTGATGGGGAGCGAGCCCAGAATGGCCCCACTGCAGTTAAGAGCCGCCATTGCACTCTCAGCCTGAGAAAGGGAGAGGTGCAAAGGGATGCAGAGGGGTGCAGAGGTGAAGAGAAGTTCAAGTAGAAAGCAGAGGTGCTAGGGAGCGGGGAGCTTTGTGCAGGTAGCTTGTCTAGGTGTAAAGATGCATTTTATAGCAAGTAGAGTCACCTATTGGATGTGAAAAAAAGAAGGCACCATCACTCACCATTACCCCCTCAACACCCACCATTACCCCTCATCACCCACCATTACCCATCATCACCCACCATTACCCCTCATCACCCACCATTGCCCCTCATCACCCACCAGTACCCCTCATCACCCACCATTACCCCTCATCACCCACCATTACCCCTCACCAATCCTCATCACTCACCATCACGAATTCAACAAAGGCAATGCGAGTAGAGTGGTGATAATCGCCCAACAGACGAAGGCGAGAGATCTGAGAGGCGGGAAAGAGAGGGGGCAGGGGGGTGGAAGGGGGCAAGAAGGGAAGAGGGAACAAAGAGAGATACGGAATTTATGTGAGTGGAGTGATGGTAATCACCCAGCAGACGGAGGCGAGAGATCTGAACACAAATAGGCTTCATGGGGCGGTGGGGGGGGTTAAGGAATGGGGAAGGGGTAAGCAGGGGGTAACGATTTTACGGATGAAGGTACGCTGGTGGTAACCCAGCAACCCTGGGATGGGGAAATGGGGAAGGTAACCCAGCAGCGGAAAGCCGAGGGACGTGTGCACTGGAAGAGCAGACAGGAGGTGAGACAGCAGCGCAGGATTGTATCGAACTTTACTCTGCCTTCTTGAATCTCAATCAACCGCACTAAACCTTAGCTCACCTCTCCGCAGAGTGACTCAAAGAAGAGCTTCACGTCTGCCTGGGTAACCTGCAGTGAGAGAGGGAGGGGGGTGACTGATAAGTTCTTCCTATGTTTCAAGAGTGATTGGTAAACTTCTGAGAAGTGTCAAAGGGTGGTAACTAGTGAAAAAGGCATGCCACTTGCGGCAAGAAGCTTCAAAGGGTGGGTGGGTCAGCGGTTTAACAAGCAGGTGAGAAGTCGAGGAGAAGTTCATGAAAGGGGGAAAGAAACAGGGGAAACCCCACCCTTGCAACAGATACCACTCTCATCCCACTTTCTTGCCTTCACTGGCGCCACCCCTCCTTGACTTTCCTCTCGCCTCACCTTAATGTCAATGTTGGTACAATAACCACTGCGAGCACACATTTCCAGTTTTGAGACGTCTCAAAACTATAACCACTGCGAACACACATTTCCCTCTCCTTACTTGCCCCTGCTATTTCCCCTTCTTGTCGCGCCCCCTCATCTTCACCTCTCGCCTCACCTTCTTGCCCTTCCTCTAGACTCACTTTCATGCCGTTCCTCTCGCCTCTCGCCTCACCTTCTTATCAATGTTGGTGCAATAAACAGTGCGAGCACACATCTCCCTCTCCTCCTGGCTCTGATGTGACAAACACGGCGGAAAGAAGGAATCGAAATGCTTAGTGCAACAACAAGTATGGGGGACGCGAGCAGGTGGGGGGAAAGGGGGAGATTGTTGTGTCAACTCAAAAGTTACAGTGCAGGCGCACATCTCCCTCTCTTGACTCTGATGTGACAAACACGGGGGAAAAGGGAAGCGTGACTTTTGAGTCGACTCCAAAGCCACAGTGCAGGCACACATCTCCCTCGCCTCCTGACTCTGATGTGACAAACACGGGGGAAAGAAGGAATCGAAATGCATAGTGCATCAAAACCATGGGTTTGGGGGTGAACCAAGGAAAGCAGCAGCCCAGCAGCACCCCAGCAGCACCCCAGCAGCACCCCAGCAGCACCCCAGCAGCACCCCAGCAGCAGCCCGGCAGCACCCCAGCACGATGACAGGTATCATACATCGGAAATGTTACGGCACCTTGGGGAGGTAGGTGGGGTTGACAGGCAGAATGGCCGTCTTGGAAGGGAGCACACGTAGAGGATAGTACCCCAGCATCGTGCCTGCTATGCTCAACGCGTTCTTGGCCCCCTCTGGAGAGGAGGGAGAGGAGAGGCAAGCATGTTGTGAAGGAAAGAAACGAAGACAAGATAAGTGATGAGGGCAGAACCCGAGGGTAGTACCCCAGCATCGTGCGTTCTTGGCCCCCTCTGGAGAGGAGGGACGAGGAAAGGCAAGAAGAGCGAAAGAGTACAGAGATGGAGACAAGGTATGGTATGGGGGAAAATGAAGGAGCACTCGGAGGGGGTAGTACCCCAGCATCGTGCCAGCAATGCTCAGGGCGTTCTTGCCCCCCTCTGGAAAGGAGGGACAAGGAGACTATGATGGATTATACGCGTTTGGCGTATATATGCGTATCGTATATACGCTAGCGTGTATACGCCATACGCTTGAGGGTCGGATCAGGCATACGCTTTTTCGGGGAGGGAAAAAAACATTTCGGGCAGGGTGGAAAAAAAATACCCCCTATCTCATCTCACTAAGACGTGCCCTAGCATTTTCCTGAGTCCGATCGGCGGGTGGGATGGGGCGGGGAGTAGACATCATAGCTAGAGGGAGTAGTGTTGGAGAGGCTGTTCAAGTTGGAGTGCGCGGGGACACTGCTGCAAGCGGGAATGCAAGGTAGGAAATGAGGGGTTAGGAGTTGGGTTGGCTGGTAAGTAGCGTGAGATTTGTTGGGGGTTCAATTTTGATAGGTTGGGGTTCGTAGATAAGATGGTTTTCAATGCGGTAGAGGGGATGGGTTCAAATGCCTAGATGGGACCTGAAATTTGACATTTGAATAGCCAGATGTGCCTGAAAACTTCCAAGTCAGATCCCACCTTGCAAGACCGCGGATTTGCATTTCGACTTCCGCGAAATGCTCACCAAGAAAATCCGCATCTTTTCTGCGATTTTACTTTCCCCGGCTGCCCGAAAATTTTTATGGCTGCGTATCGCGTATTCGCTAGCGTTTAGCGTATTGCGTGTACACGCTAGCGTAGATACGCTAAACGCAAAGGGTCTAGAGCGTATAATCCATCATAGCGAGGAGAGGCAAGAATGGTGTGGAGGAGGGGAAAGAGACGGGGACAAGGGATGGGAAAAAGAAAAGGGAAAAAGGTTATGAGGCGAGGGCAGGATCCTCCCATCATGCGTTCTTGGCTCCATCTGGAAAGGACGGAGCAGAGAGGCAGGAATGGTGTTTTTGAGACGTCTCAAAAACACCCTCTCCACACGTGACGTTCTTGGCTCCATCTGGAAAGGACGGAGCAGAGAGGCAGGAATGGTGTTTTTGAGACGTCTCAAAAACACCCTCTCTACACGTGACGTTCTTGGCTCCATCTGGAAAGGACAGAGCAGAGAGGCAGGAATGGTGGTGGAAAGGAGAGGATGGGAAGGAGGTAGCAAAGAAAATTGGCACTACTGACTCAACACTAATCAACACTGCTAGCTACCCCCTCCAACCAATCATGTAGTAACAAAGATTGACACGTGTTGACATGACATGCTATCCCCAGCCCTTGCGAACTACACAGTGGCTTTTGAGACGCCTCATTGTCGTCTGTTGGTTTGAGGCGCCAAGAAAAATACACACACACTCATTGACATGACATAACCTTCTCAGACACCAAAAAATCAGCTGGCTTCACCTGAGTGTGCAATACATCGGACTGGAAAACGTCCTTGACACAACACAACACGTTACACTACTGCTGGATTTTGAGTCGCCTAATAAAAAAGCAATCAGCTGGCTTCACCTGAGTGTGCAATACATCGGACTGGAAAACGTCCTTGACACAACACAACACGTTACACTACTGCTGGATTTTGAGTCGCCTAATAAAAAAGCAATCAGCTGGCTTCACCTGAGTGTGCAATACACCGATGAGCACTCATTGATGCTACACTACTGCCAGTCTGCCAGAACCAACCTCTTGGCTTGCGGTTGCGGCATACCTTCGTCAGTAAATTCCACAAATGCGAATCGGAGCACTGAATTGGGGTCTCCGCAGATACGACAATCCACCACCTGTGACAGAGAGAGGCGGACAGGGAACCCATAAGTGATGTGAGAGGGAGGAGCACGCATGGAACAGGGATACCAGGAACCAATAAAACCAGAAGAACAAAGCTTGAGCATCATCACCCTTAAAAACTCACTTAAGCGTAAGGCACCTGAAAATTCACCTAAGCTATGGAGCACCTGAAAACTCACCTGAAGCTATGGGGCACCTGAAAACTCACCTGAAGCTATGGGGCACCTGAAAACCAACCTGGCCACAGGAGAGAAAGAGGGTGGCGAGCTGCTCCTCCGTCACCTGCGGCGGTGGGCGGGAGAAACAGTGTGTTCAGAGGAACGGCACAGCAGCACACGGGGGGGCAAGAAAAGGCGATTTTTGAGGTGCCTCAAGAACAGCACAGCAGCACAGGATGGGTGGGGCAAAGGTGAAAAGGCGGGCGGGAGGAGAGAAAGAGGGTGACAAGCTGCTCCTCCGTCACCTGCGGTGGTGATCACAGGCGGGATTGGATAAGATTGATCGAGAGACATATTCCAGCGAGCAGCAGTTTAGGAGAAAGTTTAGCAAAGGAGAAACATGCGGGGATAGGATAAGATAAGATAAGATTGATCATTGACAGAGTTTTTTCAGTCGACTCAGAAAAAAGGGGACGTGATGGGCTAAGGTGGGAAGATTTTTCAAGAGGCTAAAATTTGGGCAAAAGTGGGATCAGGGGGGCGGGAGGGGAGGAAGCGGGTTCAAAGGTGTGTGTGGAAGTGGGAGGGATGTTAGAGGGAGAGAAAAGAGAAGCGGGGTCAGAGGAACAGCAGCACACAGGTCAGTGTGTGGGGGTTAGGGAAGGGGCGAGAGGGCAAGAGAACGAAAAGAGAAAGGACAGTCGTTTGCAAACTCTCATCACTTGCTTGCTGCCTTTGGAGTTGACGAGTGGGTTTAAGTATTCTCGAGTAATCAAAAGTTGCCTCTCTACCCCCACGACTTTTGAGACGTCTCAAAAGTTGCCTCTCTACCCCCACGACTTTTGAGACGTCTCAAAAGTTGCCTCTCTACCCCCACGACTTTTGAGACGTCTCAAAAGTTGCCTCTCTACCCCCACGACTTTTGAGACGTCTCAAAACTAGTTGCCTCTCTACCCCCACGACTTTTGAGACGTCTCAAAACTAGTTGCCTCTCTACCCCCACGACTTTTGAGACGTCTCAAAAGTTGCCTCTCTACCCCCACGATTTTGAGTAATCTACTGTCGGCTGCTGCCCTGCCCTTGCCTGCTGCCCTCTCTGCACTGAACTTAATCAGTACAGCCGGTTGAAGCAGTAGCAGTGACATCATCATACACATAAAAGTTATCTCACCTGGTGGTCGATATCAGACACATAGACCGTCCGCTGAGTGCTCTCCTCCGTGGGCTGCTGCCCTGCTCTCGCCTGCGGCCCTCTGCACTGAACTTAGCCAGTACAGTACCGTCGCCAGTAGCAGAAGTAGCAGTGCCACTATCATACGCACACACAGAGCAGTCAACTCACCTGGTGGTCAATGTCAGACACATAGACCGTCCGCTGAGTGCTCTCCTCCGTTGGCTGCTGCCCCGCCCTCGCTTGCTGCCCCCTCCGCTGATTCCCACCCCCACCACCACCACCACCAGCGTTGCCAGCACCACCAGCAGGGCCACCCCCTCCCATCCCCGCGTTTCCAGGGCCCGAGCCTTTATTCTGCACGTGTGTAACAGAGGAACGACAGAAAAAAAAAAAACAAACATGTGGTACGAACATTAAAAGACATGGAACAGCAATAAGGCCTGTCTGTCTGCACTTGTGTCTAAGGCCCCTCTCTCTCTGCCCTTGTCTCTTGCGGAAACAGCAACAATCAAGGAAACTACATGCTGCTGTTGAGGCCTCAGACACATAAAACGACTCCAAAAGCCTTGACAGCAAAAAAGTACCTCAACTAGTGGTTCTTGCCACCTCCACGCAACTACTGGTTACCACCAACTCGCAACCACTGGTTACCACCAACTCGCAACCACTGGTTACCACCAACTCGCAACCACTGGTTACCACCAACTCGCAACCACTGGTTACCACCACAACACACCTTCATCTGCCCCTGCTGCTGCTGATTCTGCCGTCCCTCCATCCCCTGCTGTCTCCCATTCGGAGACAACTGCCCGTTCCTTGCTGACGTGGCACCACCAGAAGCCGCCACGTCACCCTGCTGCTGACCGTCTACGTTTCCACTCCCCCCTACCCCGGATCCTCCTCCCCCTTCTCCTCCCCTTCCCCCTCTCCCCCTCCCTCCGCCGTTGCTCCTGTTGTCCTCCCCGCCCCCCCTCCTTCCTCCGCCTCTTCCCCCCCCAGCTCCCCCCGAAGGTGGAGAATACGCCTTGGCATCCGGATTTAGTTTTTTCAACATCTCCTCTAATTCGTCCATATTCTTTGCATGGCTATAATTAGCGTTTCCCTGCATGTGCGGGGGGTTATTACGGTAATTCCCCTGCTGCTGCTGCTGATGATGATTATGTTTTTGCTGCTGCTGATACGGCCCTCTTCTAGAGTTATTATGGTTCCGATTCGCGAAATTTCCCTGACCCGGGTTACCAAACCCTTGGCCGGGAGCATTGTAACCAGCGGGCCCGTTAACGTTAACGTTAGCGTTTACGTTACGGGGGATGTTATGGGGGCCGAAACCGGATGGCGGACCCATCAGCGGGCTCATGGCTTGCGCGCCCAGACCGGGGGGGACGTTTTGCGCGGACATGGTTGGCGGGGAGAAATTGGGGGAAGGGGGAAACTGTCCCGGCGGTCCGCGCGCAAACCCCATTCCAAACATCTGCTGCGGCGGAAACTGCTGCGGGGGAAACTGTTGCGGCGGAAACTGCTGCGCGGAGCCTTGGGGGAACTGCGGAGATGCTGGGGGGAATTGATGCGGGGACGCCGGTGGGAACTGCTGCGCGGACCCGGGCGGAAACTGCGGGGACGGCGGGGCGAACTGTTGGGGGGAAGCGGGGGGGAACTGCGGGGGGGCGGGGGAATACTGTTGCGGGGAGGCGGGGGGGAACTGTTGCGGAGCGCCAGGGAGCAGCGGCGGCATTCCGAACGGCCCCCCCGCGTGGCTGTTCCACGGCTGGTACTGCTGGAAGAGCGACGGATACTGATCCGGCGACGAACCCGGAAAGTGCTGATAAGGAGAGATTACGTTCGTTACAGGAACGGCCTGGGGCCCCGGGCTAGGCTGAGAAAGCGCCATGTTCTGAGGAGGGTAAGGAGCGGGGTTGATCCCTTGCGGAGCGATTACGGCGGGATATGGGGAGGAGGCGGATAGGGATGCTGGGAGGCTGGAAGATACGGATAAGGACGACGGAAGGTTGGGATCTGATTCGGATCCTCCTCCGTCTCTGATCTGATCTTGCGTGGAATCTGGACCGTAGGTCGCCGATTCGCCGTTGTACGGTGCAGATTCGTTATTATACGTCGCCGAGTCGCCGTTATACGGTGCAGATTCGTTATTATACGTCGCCGAGTCGCCGTTATACTGTGCAGATTCGCCACTGAATGTTGTCGGTTCGCCGGCATACGTCGCCGAGTCAGGACCGATGGAGGCCCCCGAGGGTCCCTGCGGAGAAGATTCCGGCAGCTGATTCGAAACAACATCTGCGCTTGACGAGGATTCTTGAAACGCGGACGGGACTTCTTGAAACGAAGCTGGAGCCGCGTCGAAACTCGCAGGTTCGTTAGCGGCGGACGCGGAGGGCTCGCCTGCTGCGTCCGAATTGCTGCTAGCCTCTATCGTCGCCATGGACGGCAAGGTGCAGCTAAGCTAGAGTGGGCTAAGGACGTGGTGAAGAAAAAAATACCCTAATGTAGAGCTTGAGGTGATGAGACTAAATCAAAGAGGGCATACTCCTCCAGCCTCCCATAATTCAGCCACCTAGAGATTGACGTTATGTGATGTTTTACGTGATGGGATGCACTTGTGCGCTTGTAACGGGTTTCCACGGTTGTAGGAGTGGAGCAAGCCTAAGCGTGTAATGAATGTTTTTTGAGAATACATATATTTTCAGTTCAGTTTCCATGTTCAAAGTGGAACCGTTTTTCAGATTCGCCGAAAAGGTCGTGTTCGTAAAGCAAGAGACAGTGAACCTGTGTCAACCAGAGAGATGAATCTGTACGGTCGGTGGTCTAAAAGTTGTTAATTCCCACAAGACCCTCTGAGTGCTTAGTTAAGCAATTTTCAACTACTGATACGTAGTACAGCAAACGGAAACGCCACAATCTGAATGGTTCTAAGTTGAGCATCCATAAATCCCGCCGAGAGCATGGTTCTTTAGCTTCAGCGAGTCTCATGTTCTAAATCGCTGCTCCCACCCAGAGTCCTTTTCTTGGCTTCAGATTCCTACCACGATTGTTAGTTCCCTGTTCCCTGTTCCTACCAGTTTGCTGTCCGGACATTGATAGCAGTGTCTTACCGGGCAATAGTGCTGGCTCGATCGCAGTCGCCCGGGCAGCATGCGAGCCGTCAGCACGGTCGGCCAGGCAGGATGCGAGCCCTCGGTTTTGGCAGCAGCGCATGAGCCTCGTTTTCCCCGCGAATTCAGCTAAGGCTGCGAGAGAAAGCCGAAATTGAGGAAAACAGGGGTTGCTGAGAGGGAGGGGGGAAGGACAAGGAGGAGAAGGAAAAAGAAGAAAGGGGGGAGGGGAAGGAAGAGCGAGGAATTGTTAGGAGGCTAGGAGGGTAGGAGGTTAAAAGGCTAGGAAGGCTGTACGTTCAATTGAGACACGAGTCATTCCAGAGGGCGGAAAGAAAGGGGGGATTGCTAGGAGGCTTAGAAGCTACGGGGATTGGAGACTAGGAGGCTAGGAAGAAGGTTAGTAGGCTTGGAAGCTAGGAGGCTTGGAAGCTAGGAGGCTTGGAAGCTAGCAGGCCTGGAAGCTAGGAGGCTTGGAAGCGAGGAGGCTTGGAAGCTAGGAGGCTTGGAAGCAAGGAGGTTTAGAAGCTAGGCGGCTTGGAAGATAGGAGGCTTGGGAGCTTGGAGGCTTGGAAGCTAGGAGGCTCGGAGGCTTGGAGGCTCGTGATATTTTAGTCGCCCGTGAGGCTTGCTTGGAGGCTGGGGGGACTGCTTGAAAGCTTGGAGGTTTGGAGAGTGGGAGGCTCGGAAGCCATGGCGGGGTCATCACTGTCGTCGCTGGAAAAGAGCATCCTGGAGCTGTGCCAGGAGAACCCCGAGGTAGGGCTTTAAGGGAACCCTGAGGTACAAATTACATCCTGGAGCTGTGCCAGGAGAACCCCGAGGTAGGGCTTTAAGGGAACCCTGAGGTACAAATTACATCCTGGAGCTGTGTCAGGAGAACTCCGAGGTAGGGCTTTAAGGGAACCCTGAGGTACAAATTACATCCTGGAGCTGTGCCAGGAGAACCCCGAGGTAGGGCTTTAAGGGAACCCTGAGGTACAAATTACATCCTGGAGCTGTGCCAGGAGAACCCCGAGGTAGGGCTTTAAGGGAACCCTGAGGTACAAATTACATCCTGGAGCTGTGCCAGGAGAACCCCGAGGTAGGGCTTTAAGGGAACCCTGAGGTACAAATTACATCCTGGAGCTGTGCCAGGAGAACCCCGAGGTGGGGCTTTAAGGGAACCCTGAGGTACAAATTACATCCTGGAGCTGTGCCAGGAGAACCCCGAGGTAGGGCTTTAAGGGAACCCTGAGGTACAAATTACATCCTGGAGCTGTGTCAGGAGAACTCCGAGGTAGGGCTTTAAGGGAACCCTGAGGTACAAATTACATCCTGGAGCTGTGCCAGGAGAACCCCGAGGTAGGGCTTTAAGGGAACCCTGAGGTACAAATTACATCCTGGAGCTGTGCCAGGAGAACCCCGAGGTAGGGCTTTAAGGGAACCCTGAGGTACAAATTACATCCTGGAGCTGTGCCAGGAGAACCCCGAGGTAGGGCTTTAAGGGAACCCTGAGGTACAAATTACATCCTGGAGCTGTGCCAGGAGAACCCCGAGGTGGGGCTTTAAGGGAACCCTGAGGTACAAATTACATGCTAGTAGAAGGCACTATTAACTGAGCTGTCGTCGCTGGAGAAGAGCATCCTGGAGCTGTGCCAGGAGAACCCCGAGGTAGGGCTTTAAGGGAACCCTGAGGTACAAATTACATCCTGGAGCTGTGCCAGGAGAACCCCGAGGTGGGGCTTTAAGGGAACCCTGAGGTACAAATTACATGCTAGTAGAAGGCACTATTAACTGAGCTGTCGTCGCTGGAGAAGAGCATCCTGGAGCTGTGCCAGGAGAACCCCGAGGTAGGGCTTTAAGGGAACCCTGAGGTACAAATTACATCCTGGAGCTGTGCCAGGAGAACCCCGAGGTGGGGCTTTAAGGGAACCCTGAGGTACAAATTACATGCTAGTAGAAGGCACTATTAACTGAGCTGTCGTCGCTGGAGAAGAGCATCCTGGAGCTGTGCCAGGAGAACCCCGAGGTAGGGCTTTAAGGGAACCCTGAGGTACAAATTACATCCTGGAGCTGTGCCAGGAGAACCCCGAGGTGGGGCTTTAAGGGAACCCTGAGGTACAAATTACATGCTAGTAGAAGGCACTATTAACTGAGCTGTCGTCGCTGGAGAAGAGCATCTTGGAGCTGTGCCAGGAGAACCCCGAGGTAGGGCTTTAAGGGAACCCTGAGGTACAAATTACATCCTGGAGCTGTGCCAGGAGAACCCCGAGGTGGGGCTTTAAGGGAACCCTGAGGTACAAATTACATGCTAGTAGAAGGCACTATTAACTGAGCTGTCGTCGCTGGAGAAGAGCATCCTGGAGCTGTGCCAGGAGAACCCCGAGGTATGGCTTTAAGAGAACCCTGAGATTAGATCACATGCTAGGTGATGAAAATGCTCTCTAACCTGAGCTGTCATCGCTGTCCTCCTCACTGTCATCGCTGGAGAAGAGCATACTCGAGCTGTGCCAGGAGAACCCCTAGGAATGAAGCAGAAGCAGACGGGTGAAGGGTCAATGCCAGAAGAACCCGGGGGTAAAACTTACATGCTAGTTGCTGAGAAGGGGCTATAATTGAGCTGTCGTCGCTCTCATCGCTGGAGAAGAGCATCCTGGAGCGGTGCCAGGAGAACCCCGAGGTATGGCTTTAAGAGAACCCTGAGATAAAGATCAGATTATATGCTAGTAGAAGGCGCTATTAACCTGAGCTGTCATCGCTGGAGAAGAGCATCCTGGAGCTGTGCCAGGAGAACCCCGAGGTATGTGAGTGGAAGCGCTATGGCTTCAAGGGAATCGCCGGATGAGGGGTTCCTTTGAATGCCAGGAGGGCTCCGAGGTAGGGAGGGATCACGTGGTAGGGAGGGATCACGTGGTAGGGAGGGATCACGTGGTAGCTTTGGGGAAGGGAAGGTGAGTGGCAATGGCGGGGTTCTTCCTATTTCATCCAATGCTGTGGTATCACAGAATGCTTCAGTATCCAATCCAATGCTTTTTCTTTCTATTATAATCCCTTTTATTCACCTCAATGCCCTGGTGTAGACCTCATCTCTTTCTTATCCACCTCAATGGTATCTTATCCAATTTAATTTTGTGTATCCAATCCACCCTATCATATCCAATCCAGGGTCTATCGGATAAGATTCTCGAGTCGGAGCTCTCATATGTGCCTCTGGCCGACCGAGTCGGTGCCATCAATGGGCTGCTGCAAAAGGTACAGGTCTTGTGCGTGCGGTTGTGTGCGGTTGTGTGGGGTTGGGTGGGTTTGTGTGGGGTTGGGTGGGGTTGTGTGCGGTTGTTTGCGGTTGTGTGGGGTTGTTTGCGGTTGTTTACGGTTGTGTGGGGTTGTTAAGGACTGTCATACACTTGTATTTATGATAGGGGTTGCATATGTGCCTCTTGGCGACCGAGTCAGTGCCATCAATGGGCTGCTTCAAAAGGTACAGGTCTTGTGCGTGCGGTTGTGTGCGGTTGTGTGCGGTTGTGTGGGGTTGTGTGCGATTGTGTACGGTTGTTTGCGGTTGTGTGGGTTTGTTAAGGAACGCCATACACTTGTATTTATGATAGGGGTTGCATATGTGCCTCTTGGCGACCGAGTCAGTGCCATCAATGGGCTGCTTCAAAAGGTACAGGTCTTGCGGTTGTGTGCGGTTGTGTGCGGTTGTGTGGGGTTGTGTGCGATTGTGTACGGTTGTTTGCGGTTGTGTGGGTTTGTTAAGGAACGCCATACACTTGTATTTATGATAGGGGTTGCATATGTGCCTCTTGGCGACCGAGTCAGTGCCATCAATGGGCTGCTTCAAAAGGTACAGGTCTTGCGGTTGTGTGCGGTTGTGTGCGGTTGTGTGGGGTTGTGTGCGATTGTGTACGGTTGTTTGCGGTTGTGTGGGTTTGTTAAGGAACGCCATACACTTGTATTTATGATAGGGGTTGCATGTGTGCCTCTGGCCGACCGAGTCAGTGCCATCAATGGGCTGTTACAAAAGGTAGGGCTTTTGGTGCGGTTGTTTCTTGTTGTGTGCGGTTGTTTGTGGTTGTGTGCGGTTGTGTGCGTGTAAATGTTTGGGGATGCATATGTGCCTCTGGCTGACCGAGTCAATGCCATCATTGGGCTGCTGCAAAATTTATGGCTTTTGTGTGTATGTTGACTTGTGTGCGGTTGTTTGTGGTTGTGTGCGGTTGTGTGCGTGTGTATAATTGGAGATGCTTATGTGCCTCTGGCTGACTGAGTCAGTGCCATCATTGGGTTGTTGCAAAAGGTATGATGGCTCGTGTGTGTATGGTAACTTGTTTACAATTATATATTTTTCAAACCATGTCCTACATTCGTGTGTATGATCAAGGATGCGTGTGTGCCTCCTTGGGTCCCACTACACTCTGTATTATCCTCTTTATAGAGTGCTTCAGCTGCTGAAAAAACATTTGTGATGCAAAAATCCCCCGTCCCCTCTTTTCCACCATTTGGATCCCTCTGTGCTGTGTTTTATCCTCTTCAGAGAGCGCTTCAGCTGTTTAAATCGGGCGACACTCTCCTGTACAAGCACGTGAGCCAAGACCAAGCCGTGCAGTGAGTGCTGCTGATGACAATATGGGGATGTAATGTTTTAGTGTAGCAATTTGGCAATATAACATGCCAACTCAAATCAGGTGACACGCTCCTTTACGAGCACGTCAGCCTGGACCAGGCAGTGCAGTGAGTGCTGCTTTTTCCTCCCTACACTTGTCATTTCTTACCTTCCACTCTATCCCTCCCATTTTATACCTCCCATCCCATACCTCCCATCCCATGCCTCCCTTTTCCATACCTCCCATTCCATACCTCCCTACCTCCCATTCCATCCCTTCCATCCATACCTCCCATCCATACCTCCCACCTTTCATCCCACCTTTCATCCCATACCATTGCACCCCCCTTCTTACCCCCATCCCACCAGGTTCAAGGGGTTGAGTTCAGAAGATCTCCTTCTTTATCAAGCCATCAAGCAAGCAGGCAACGCAGGTAAGCAGGCGGGCAGAACACACACTTGCATGTACGCTTTCTTGCTGCTTGCATCCCAGTCAGCCCTGTCTGCTGCTGTCAAGGGGTTGAGCTCAGAGGATCTCGTTCAGTATCAAGCCATCAAGCAAGCAGGCATGGCAATATTCGAACCGCCAACCTGCAGCACCTCACATCACCCTCTCTTGCTGCCCCCACTGTACCTTCCCTCACACCCCCACCATACTTCATCGCCCCCTCCCCCGGACCTGAAATTTCCATTCCATTCAACAGGCATCTGGACGCGGGACATGAAGACTCGTTTTGACTCGCCTCAGTTTTTGAGGCGCCTCAAAACTACCGCATCTACCTCCCTCCCTCTACCTTATGTGTTTCATGATTCCATCCATCCTACAGGCATCTGGACATGAAGACCCGCACAAACCTGCAGCAGCCGCAGATCACCAAGATCATCAAGACACTGGAGGGCAGGAAGCTCATCAAAGCAGTCAAGTCAGTTAATGTGAGTTAAGGTGGTCGATATGAGAGAAAACAGTCAAGCTGGTCAACGTGAGTCAAAGCAGTCAACCTGCAGCAGCCGCAGATCACCAAGATCATCAAAACTCTGGGGGGCAGGAATATGAGACACAGCAGTCAAATCGGTCAACGTGAGTCACAGCAGTCAACGAGTCAAGGGTGGTCAATATGAGAGACAGCAGTCAAATCGGTCAACGTAGGACAATTCGGTCAACGTGAGTCACAGCAGTCAACGAGTCAAGGGTGGTCAATATGAGAGACAGCAGTCAAATCGGTCAACGTAGGACAATTCGGTCAACGTGAGTCAAGGCAGTCAACCCAGGAGCCTCAGATTACCACAGTCATAAACATGCCTTTTGAGGCGCCTTAAAAGTCACCAAAAGCATAAAGGCGAGTTGGTGAGGGTGCTGGTGGAAGCTGATCAAAGCAGTCAAAAGCGGCTAAGGGAGAGAGAGCGACAGAGAGCCAAAATCTGGTTTTTGAGAATTCTCAAAAACCAGCTCATAAAGGCGAGTTGGTGACCGTGCTGGAAGCTGATCAAAGCAGTCAAATCGGTCATGGTGGGCCAACCAAAACAGACCATTAGACATGATCCAGCGAGCAGCAGTGGAGGAGAAAGTTCAGCAAAGGAGAAAACAGGTGTTGTAGTGGAACCTAGCTAATTCGCGTAGGGTTTTGTAAGAACGGAGCTCTTCACTAAGCAGTGTTCAAAACACTGACGAAAGGCGAGTTAGTGAGGGTGCTGGAAGCTGATCAAAGCAGTCACATCGGTTATGGTGGGCCAACCAGTGGGCCAACCAAAACAGTCAAAAGCGGCTAAGGGAGAGAGAGTGACAGAGAGCCAACAGCTCTACATGCTGTGTATCGTCTTGAGACGTCGTCTTTCACCCGTGTTTCACTGCTCCCTTGCAGAACAAGAGTCGAAAACTCTGCATGCTGTATGAGCTCGAGCCATCCCCCACCCGCTGTGGTTCCATCCATTCCCATCCCTTTCTTTCTTTTCCTCTATTTCCGCTCTGTGCTTTCCCTCCTCTGGCTCCTCCCCCTTGCAGAACAAGAGCCGCAAGCTCTACATGCTGTACGAGCTCGAGCTGTCCCGGGAGGTGACAGGAGGGGTGTAAAGAACCAATGCGCGTGCCATTACCTTACCTAATGCTTCCCTCTGCTTCCCTCTGCTCCCCCTGCTCCCCCTGCTCCCCCTGCTCCCTCTGCTCCCTCTGCCCCCTGTAATACTGCTATCTCAGAACAAGAGTCGCAAGCTCTACATGCTGTACGAGCCCGAGTCATCCCGGGAGGTGTCAGGAGGCGCGTGGAAGGAACACCGATGCTGAATCCGACTTTTTAGACGCCTCAAAACCCTCTGCTTCCACTGCCCCCAATGCTCCCACTGCTCCCTCTTCTCCCCCTGCTCTCTTTTCTCAGAACAAGAGTCGCAAGCTCTACATGTTGTATGAGCTAGAGCCGCCTCGGGAGGTGACAGGAGGGGCATGGTACACAGATATCGACGCCATTTCCCTCCACATGCTTCTCTCTGCTTCCTGTGCTCCCTGTGGCTCTGCATTCTCTCAGAACAAGAGCCGCAAGCTCTCATGCTATATGAGCACGAGCCGTCCCAGGGGCGTGGTACACCAATGCTAATGCCATCACTTTACCTCATGCTTCCCTCTGCTCCCTCCTTTCTCTCACTTCTTGCCGCCTCTCTCTTGCAGAACAAGAGCCGAAAGCTCTACATGTTGTACGAGCTCGAACCGTCCCGAGAAGTGACAGGAGGCGCGTGGTACACCGATGCTGAATTCGACGCCGAGTTCATTTCGGCTTTAAGGCAGCTGTGTCTGACACACATAGTCAAGCTGGTGGGTACGCTATGTGTGCCTTTCTGCTAGCTAGTTTATGTATGTCGTACTGCCTGCATGGCCCTGTGTGTGGGGGGCTCTAGAGACGGAGGTGACAGGAGGGGCGTGGTATACAGATGCTGAGTCTGGTGCCGAGTTCATTCAAGCGCTGAGGCAGCTGTGCTGTGCCTCTCGCACACAGTCAAGCTGGTGGCACGATAGCTGTGCCTCTCGCACACAGTCAAGCTGGTGGTACGATAGCTGTGCCTCTCGCACACAGTCAAGCTGGTGGCACGATAGCTGTGCCTCTCGCACACAGTCAAGCTGGTGGCACGATAGCTGTGCCTCTCGCACACAGTCAAGCTGGTGGTACGATAGCTGTGCCTCTCGCACACAGTCAAGCTGGTGGTACGATAGCTGTGCCTCTCGCACACAGTCAAGCTGGTGGTACGATAGCTGTGCCTCTCGCACACAGTCAAGCTGGTGGTACGATAGCTGTGCCTCTCGCACACAGTCAAGCTGGTGGTACGATAGCTGTGCCTCTCGCACACAGTCAAGCTGGTGGTACGACAGCTGTGCCTCTCGCACACAGTCAAGCTGGTGGTACGATAGCTGTGCCTCTCGCACACAGTCAAGCTGGTGGTACGATAGCTGTGCCTCTCGCACACAGTCAAGCTGGTGGTACGATAGCTGTGCCTCTGGCACACAGTCAAGCTGGTGGTACGATAGCTGTGCCTTGCTGTTTGCATATATGTGCCAATCTCTGCCTCTCTCTTCATTTTGCAATTGCTTTCTCTCTCTTGTTCCTCTTGTGGGCAGGGAGGTGACACGCTTGAAGGGGTGGTGGAGGCAGTGAGGAGGGCTGGCAGTGGGGGCAGACTCTTATGTCCCTTGCTTTCCCCCTTTCTCCTTTACCCCTCTCTGCAAACAGGGAGGTGACACGCTTGAAGGGGTGGTGGAGGCAGTGAGGAGGGCTGGCAGTGGGGGCAGACTCTTATGTCCCTTGTTTTCCCCCTTTCTCCTTTACCCCTCTCTGCAAACAGGGAGGTGACACGCTTGAAGGGGTGGTGGAGGCAGTGAGGAGGGCTGGCAGTGGGGGCAGAACTCGCGTCCTCCCCACTTCGCCCTTTTTCGCACTTCCTTTTGCCTTTACCCCTCTGTGGGCAGGGAGGCGATACGCTTGAAGGGGTGGTGGAGGCAATGAGGAGGGCTGGCAGTGGGACAGGCTCTTATGTCCTTCCCTTGCTCTTTTCCCCTTTCCTTTTTTTCTCTTTCCCTTTTTCCCTTCCCTTTTTCCACTTACAGTTTTCGCCCTCTCTGTGGGCAGGGGGGATATGCTCGAAGGGGTGGTGGAGGCAGTGAGGAGGGCAGGCAGTGGGGGCAGACTCTTATGTCCCTTGCTTTCCCCCTTTCTCCTTTACTCCTCTCTGTGAGCAGGGAGGTGACACGCTTGAAGGGGTGGTGGAGGCAGTGAGGAGGGCTGGCAGTGGGGGCAGACTCTTATGTCCCTTGCTTTCCCCCTTTCTCCTTTACCCCTCTCTGCAAACAGGGAGGTGACACGCTTGAAGGGGTGGTGGAGGCAGTGAGGAGGGCTGGCAGTGGGGGCAGAACTCGCGTCCTCCCCACTTCGCCCTTTTTCGCACTTCCTTTTGCCTTTACCCCTCTGTGGGCAGGGAGGCGATACGCTTGAAGGGGTGGTGGAGGCAGTGAGGAGGGCTGGCAGTGGGACAGGCTCTTATGTCCTTCCCTTGCTCTTTTCCCCTTTCCTTTTTTTCTCTTTCCCTTTTTCCCTTCCCTTTTTCCACTTACAGTTTTCGCCCTCTCTGTGGGCAGGGGGGATATGCTCGAAGGGGTGGTGGAGGCAGTGAGGAGGGCAGGCAGTGGGGGCAGACTCTTATGTCCCTTGCTTTCCCCCTTTCTCCTTTACTCCTCTCTGTGAGCAGGGAGGTGACACGCTTGAAGGGGTGGTGGAGGCAGTGAGGAGAGCTAGCAGTGGGGGCAGACTCTTATGTCCATGCCTTTCTCTTTTCCCCTTTCCATTTGTACTCCGTCGCTTTTCCCGTACGAGCAGGGAGGTGATACTCTCGAGGGGGTGGTGGAGGCAGTAAGGAGGGCTGGCAGTGGCGGTAGGGAGGACCTGAGGATGGAGGATTTCAGACAGGTGAGATGAGAGGAGGGGAGAGGAGACGAGAGGAAAGGGCCTGTGATTGTGATTGGTTCGGGCCATCACAAAACAAAGGGGTTGTGAGGGGTGTGGGGTTATTGGAGGCAGTGGGGGCAGTGGCTGTGGCGGTAGGGAGGACTTGAGGATGGAAGACTTCAGACAGGTGAGATGAGTAGAGGGGAGAGGGGAGAAGAGGAAATGGTCTGACTGTGAATGATTGAGCTATTTTGAGCACTGGGTGCAATGCAATTGGGGCAGGTTGGGGCTAGGTTGGAGACAGGGAGGACCGAGGATCGAAGACTGCAGACAGGTGGGTGGATGGAGAGGAGTGGATGGGAGGAAAAGAGCGGAGGAGAGAGGAGAGGAGTGGCTTCCATTTGATCCATCCGTCATACACACACCCCTCCTCTCTTCTTCACGCATGCACACACACCGTGGGTCATCCGCAATCTCGCCTTCGATCGAGAGTGTGTACACTGGGAAGGGCAGGGGGTGTTGAATGGATGTATGCATGTGGCATGTGAGCTGGATGTTTTCATCTTCACCGGATGGCTGCCTGCAACCCACATGCCACATGCATTCATCCATTCAACACCCCCTGCCCTTCCCAGTGTACACACATCCCGTCATCAGCACGCTCGTTGTGCTGGATGTGTTCATCAGCACTGGCTGCAACCAACATACCACATGCACTCATCCAATCATACCCCCTCCCCCCGCAAACCCTCACATGCACACACAAGGTCATCAGCACGCTCATCTGTCATCACAGCTGGACGTCACCTTGACTCATTGTTCAAAGGGCTGCAGTAGTTGAAAAACGCTCATCTGACGCTGTAGTTCAACTGCAGCGACATCAGCATGCTCATCTGTGATCGCAGCTGGACGTCTTCATAAGCACCGGCTGCGAAACAAGTGGTCGTGCTGCATGTGCCACATGCATTCATTCATCCCATCATACCCCCTGCCCCCCAAACATATGCACACACCAGGTCATCAGCACACTCGTATTCGATCGAGAGCTAGACGTCTTCATCAGCACCGGCTCTGGCAAGGACTCGCGCTTCCCCGTGGTGAGCATTCACTTACCTCCCCACTCTTATTTTGAGGTGATTTTTGAGTCGACTCAAAAACTTCCCCACTCTTATTTTGAGTCGACTCTATTGTCTGTGTGACATTGTAACGAGGTGACTTTTGAGTCCACTTCGAATACATCTCCCTGTGTGCACAGCTTTGTGTAATGGTGCACTTTGTGCAGCGTATTCGCTACATGATTCATGCGATGCATCGGCCTATGGTGGAGCATCGGTGGGCGACCAGATTCTTCGGACACCCATAACACACCTCTCTACCCGCACCTCTCTACCCGCACCTCTCTACCCGCACCTCTCTACCCGCACCTCTCTACCATCCTCCACACCCCTCCACCACCCACCACCTGCCAGGGAGCGGAGGTGTATCGGCCATCGAGGTCTCGAGCTCCAGAATCATCCGCATTCACCAACATACCCTGCGGTGTCTGTCCTGTAAGTACCTGAATTCTGGCGTCTGCCCTGTAAGTTCTTTTTTCTTTTCCTTTTCGTCATCCTTCCCTTGGACTTCTTTCTTTTGTCCTTTTCTTTCTGTCGCTCCCTTCACTATTGTCACAAATGCAGGTGATCAACGAGTGCTCGGATGGTGGAATCATTTCCCCTCAAACATGCATCTACTTTCAACAATACCTCAACTTCTAGCTCCATGTCAGCATTTGCCCCATCACCATCCCCCACACCATCATACCGGTACATTGCACTACCGTCTGCCACGTCAGCATCAGCTATGTTACCATCTGACATGTAACTTTAATGGGTATATACAGGTTAAGATTCTTCTTTAGTGTGTCAAGCCCATGTGTACAGTAGGCATACCAAGCCTCATCTACCCTTTTTGAGACCTGTGCATGCTTGAGCAGAATCTAGTGCTTGCAGCAATTGGAAGATCATGGGCGAACGCCATTTGACACATCGGCAAAAAAAACCACCACAGATTGTGTTCCTTCATCAGAAGAACAGGGGTTGAAGATCAGTAGCATTTTGTTCTGGCTGGAGTTCTCACACAAGCTTCTCAGAGCACACCAGCTCCTCAGAGCACACCAGCTCCTCAGAGCACACCAGCTCCTCAGAGCACACCAGCTCCTCAGAGCACACCAGCTCCTCAGAGCACACCAGCTCCTCAGAGCACACCAGCTCCTCAGAGCACACCAGCTCCTCAGAGCACACCAGCTCCTCAGAGCACACCAGCTCCTCAGAGCACACCAGCTCCTCAGAGCACACCAGCTCCTCAGAGCACACCAGCTCCTCAGAGCACACCAGCTCCTCAGAGCACACCAGCTCCTCAGAGCACACCAGCTCCTCAGAGCACACCAGCTCCTCAGAGCACACCAGCTCCTCAGAGCACACCAAAACAAAACGCCGATGCCGGGGATCGAACCCGGATCTTCCGCGTGACAGGCGGAGATACTGACCATTATACTACATCGACATGCCCGATCGTAATTATTACATTATTCAACTAATATCTTAAAACAGGTTCATCCTGCAATGTTATTTTATCCCCTCCGTCTCTCCCTAATTGATTGCCAGGAGAGTTCACTTCACACTCGCGCACATCGTATGCACGTGCTCGTAGATCCTCTTCTCGGCTCTGTAAGGTGCCAACGACCTCGGTGAAGCACCATTCTGTAAATCGATAACCGAGTTCACTATAGCATCTGCACAGACAGCCTTCGTTATAGGCACATATGGCGACATACGGTACTCGAGCGGGGCTAGGAGGCTCCGGGATTTCCGGAGGAGGCGGAGCGTCTGAAATCCCTCTATGGCAGGGCGACGCGGAGAGGGAACAGTACGAGAGTTTCGCGGATTTGTACGCGATTATAAAGACTACCGAGAAGCTCGAAAAGGCGTACGTCCGTGATTTGATCTCCCCCGCGGATTACGAGCCCGCTTGCGCGAAGCTGATTGGCCAGTTCCGGACGCTTCGCACCGCGCTGCAGAGCGCCGTACCCGATATAGAGCGATTCATGACAACGTACAAGATGGACTGCCCTGCAGCGAAGAACCGCCTCCTCGTGGCTGGGGTTCCGGCAACGGTGGAGCATAAATCTGCAACGGTGGAGAGCGGTAGTGCGACTGTAGCTGTGGCTGAGACGGTTCAACACTTTATAACGGCTATGGATACTGTCAAACTCAACATGCTGGCGGTAGATCAGGTAAAACCAAGTGGGATTGCTGAGTACATAGATTTCTGAGCAGTAAGATTCCTCATGGCTCTCTGTGTTCCTTCATAACAGCCATGGATACTGTCAAGCTCAATATGCTCGGGGTGGGTCAGGTAAGCATTGAACACTCCCCTCCCCCCCCCACCTCCCCCTGCCTTCCCTCACCCAGCTCACCCCCCCCCAGGTCGACCCCCTCGCTCTCGCACCTCCGCAGCTCTCTCTGCTCTCCAATGAGCTTTCCACTTCCCACGACCCACACTCCCCTTTTCCTTCCCCCTCCCCCCTGCCTTCCCTCCACCCCCTCGCTCTCGCACCTCCGCAGCTCTCTCTGCTCGCCAATGGGCTCTCCACTTCCCATGCCCCACACTCCCCTCCGCTCCTCCAGCAATGAGCAGTGAGAGAGCAGGCCCACCCGCTCCTCTCGCTGCTCCTCAATCCTCTCCGCAGCTCTCTCTGCTCGCCAATGGGCTCTCCACTTCCCATGCCCCACACTCCCGTTCTTTCCCCTGCCCCCCCACTCCCCGTTTTCCGCACCCCCTTCCCCTACTCCAACCACAGCTGCACCCGCTGCTCTCCCTGCTCCCCAACTCTCTCTGCAACTCTCTTCTTATAAATGTGCTTCCCACTCCCTTCCCGTTTCCCCACTCCCCCCGCTCCCCTTTTCCCAGGTGTAACCATCCCTCTGCTCCTCAACCCTCCCTGCCAGCCGAGGTTGAGACCTTCCAATGTCCCATCCCCCTCCCTGCGTCCACCTTCCCTCTGCACCGTACCCTCTCTTCTTACCAATGAGCTTCCCACTTCCCTTCTTTCCGTTCCCCGTCCCTTTTCCCGCCCCAGGTGCATCTGCTGCTCTCCCTGCTCCTCGACTTCCTTTGAGACCTTCTCACTCCCCTCCGCCCCCTCTTTACCACGCCTCACTCTCCCCAACCCACCCCTCCCCCCACTCTCTTCGAGGGCCGATCCAACAGCATGGCTGCTAGCCATTCATTTGCTGTCCCTCCCACTCCCCCTTTCTTCCTTCCCGCCTTCCCCCTTCCCCAGGTGCATCCACTCCTCTCCCTCCTCCTCAACTCTCTCTGCAGCGTGCCCTCTTTACCAGCAGAGTTTGAGGGTCGCACCAAGGTCAGGGATTGGCTCGTGCGACTCAACAGCATGGCTGCTAGCGACGAGCTTTCGGAAGAGCAGGCGAGACAACTGAGCTTTGACCTTGAATCGTCGTATTCGGTGTTCATGCAATCACTTGGAATAAAAAACTGATCTGTAATTTACTGTCAAGGAAAATAAGCCCGTACAACAGTATACGGTATATGGTACCAAAGAGTGGAAAGAAACTGCGAAAGAGTTGGAAGAGAGCTGTTGTGTTGTGGTGTACAGTGGAATATTCCTTTATTGAATGCATTGTAAATGGATGCCAGGATATTAGAGATACAACAGTCTTACAGCACATATGAGTAGGATTTAGGATGAGAGCCCTGAGATAGAGTTCGACACCTCCTTCCCGTACAGGAATACCATACCGTAGATTCGCAGAATACATTCATTCCGAATTGCCAAATCACAAACCATAAGAGCCCACTCTACAGCCACGACTCGAACATACCGGTACACCCCCACCCCAGCTGAACCCCAAATGGAAAATCAAACTCTTAAATGGAAATAAAACAACCCTCATGAACTTAAAAACAATCCACAAATGAAACACAATCACACCTTCTCAAAGGGCATGCACAGACATGCATCATCTCTCCCCTTCGCCATCCCATCCCACCCTCCCCCACTCCGCCCCTCTTTCCCCTCGCTTCAAGGACCAACTCTGTGATTCATTCGGGTCTCCCAAACCTCGATCGAGCCTAGCCCCGACCCTCCTGGCCGCTGATCGTCCCGAGCCAGAAACAGCCGGTTCCCCCCAAACCCCATGTCATACACCCAGTGATCTGGGGGCGCTTCAAAGTTTACCCGCTGCCTTTGATATTCACCCATGGTGTCCCCATAGGTTCTTCGGAAGGAGTATGGGTCGAACCGTGTGGGAGGAGGAGCGGCAGCAGCAGCAGCAGCAGCAGCAACAGTGCTATTGCCAGTGCTACTACCGCCAGTAGAACCAGCACCAGTGGCAGCGGCAGCAGAGCTCAAAGTATCAACACCAGCAGCCACTTCATCCCCTGTATAACGCGCTCCTGTACCATCTAAAGGTGGCGGTTCAAACCCTCTTGCAGCAGCAGCCGCACCAGTGAGCGAACCAGGAGTTAAAGCCCCTCTAGAGTACCCTCCCAACGCATCCTCCCCACCCCCTCCTCCCGCCCCTCCAAATCCCCCCATTCCCCCGATTCCCCCTATCCCACCCTGTCCTCCCCCCCCTACCGATAGAGCCCCCCCTAACTTCTCTTCATCCATTGATGCCCATCTGCCCAGCCTGCCCGTGGCAACAGGAACAAACGGATTGCTGACTGGAGTCCACACTTCCAGCGACGGGCAGCGGTTGCAAATTATTTGCGACCTGCCCGGGACGACGAGCAGGCGAATCGTGCTTGTTTCCACCCTGCCCGAGTCTCTTTGCGTGCTGGTTCCTCCAATCCGCAGCGAGTCAGGGGATTGCCATTGCATGACCGTCCAGCTGTCTTGGCCTATAGAGGGAACCGGCCCCCCTGCTACTGGCACAGGCCCGGATGATGCTGCTGGCCGGTAGATGTTTCCGAACCCTCTACTGCTGCTGTTCGCTGAGCTATCTGTTCCAGTGCCTGTGGAGGAAAACCCTAAACCTGCTCCTCCTGCTCCTGCTGCTGCTGTTGCTGCTGCTGCATTGCCAGCACCGCTGCCGCTGCCACCCCCCCCAACATAAAACCCACCAGCACCATCATCACCACCAAGCCCTGACCCAGAACCTATCTGAACCGCACCAAAACCAGCACCACTGGGAACCGAAACACAAGCACCGGCCGAATTGCCAGTCCCATGCAGAGGTAGCTTCCTCAGGTCGAAAGCAGAGAGGCGGGAGGAGGAGTCTGGAGCGGAAGGGGAGGCTTTGAGGAGCAGGGAGAGGTCTTCGCAGGCAGTGGCGTCGCAGAGAGCACACCAGCGGTCGGAGGGGACGAGGGAAGGTTGTGGGTCGTCGAACTCACGCCAGTCCCACACCAGCTGGTTGCACCGTGGGTCCCACAGGCGCAGGTAGGACGGCCCCTCGCTGCCGCCTTGGACTCCGGCTGCTTACACAATGGGAAAGCAGGGGGGTTGGGTTGGGAATGGGAAGGGAAGGGAAGGGTAAGCAGCGGAGAGGGAGAATGAGGTTTGCCGAACTCACACCGGTCCCACACCAGCTGGTTGCAGCGCGGGTTCCATAGGCGCAAGTAGGACAGCCCTTCACTGCCGCCGAGGATGCCTGCTGTGAACATCGGGAGTGAAAGAGCATAAGAAACGGGGAAGAACAAAGAACACGAGGGATCAATCTTGGTCGTCGAATTCACGCCAATCCCACACCAGCTGGTTGCACCGTGGGTCCCACAGGCGCAGGTAGGACGGACCCCCACTGCCGCCCTGAACTCCAGCTTTTTGCACAGGTAAAGCACCAGAATTGGGGATGGGGATTTTTTAGTCGACTCAAAAATCGCCTTAATTCCAGCTTTTTGCACAGGTAAAGCACCAGAATTGGGGATGGGGATTTTTGAGTCGACTCAAAAATCGCCTTAATTCCAGCTTTTTGCACAGGTAAAGCACCAGAACTGGGGATGGGGATGGAAGGGGAAGGGAGGGGAAGGGAGGGGAAGGGGAGGGAAGAGTGAGAAGTGAAGGGGAGGCTTGGAGGAGAGGGGAGAGGGATTTGTAGGTATTGGAGTTGCAAATAGCACCCCAGCGATCAAAGGGGACGAGAGAGGGCGCCAAAATCACGCCAGTCCCACACCAGTTAGTTGCAACGCGGATCCCACTGGCGTAGGTAGGATGGCCCCTCACTCCTCCCCAGGATCCCACCACCTGTAAACAGGGGGAGAGAAAGTGCGGGTCCATCCTACCTGCACCTGTGGGACGCACGCTGCAACCATCTGGTGATAACCTGGCATGGTTTTGACGAACCTCGTTCTCCCTCTCGTCTGGTTTTGACGAACCTCATGCTCCCTCTCGTCTGGTTTTGACGAACCTCATGCTCCCTCTCGTCTGGTTTTGACGAACCTCATTCTCCCTCTCGTCTGATTACAATTCCCTTATCTACCCTTCACTCACGGGTGTATCGGCGCACGACCATGAGAAGGTTCCGGGAAGGCAGCCATTGCAACTTATCAGGGCCGCCCATGCGCCTCGTGGTAATAGGCGCCGGCCCTGCCTCCCCCACGCTCTGCAACGTGCCCCGATCAACCACCCCCACCGCCTTCCCCACCCCCCACTCCACTCCAAGAGTCTTTCTCAGGCTTGCCACGAACAGAAACCGGTCGGATTGAACTATGGACCGGAATGAAGGGTGTGACGCGCCTCTGAGAGCCACTGAGCCGATTTTGCAGGTTGGTGGGAACGAGGAGGAGTAGGGGGAGGGGAGGATGGAAGAGGGAGGGAGAGGGGGGGAGTAGAGGGGATTGGTGGTGGGGGTTGGGTAGTGGGAGGCGGATTGAGGGAGGATGATTGGAGAGATGGAGGAGGCGGGGGGAGGCTGGGTGAGAGTTAAAGGGGAGGGAGTGTAGGAGGAGAGTGAGGAAGGGGAGAGGGATGGGAGGGTGGCAGGAGAACTGTAAGTGGTCTGAGAGTGGGAGAGAGAAGAATAGTAGGGGGAGGAGTAGGGGGAGTGGGAGGGGTAGGCGGAATTGGAGGATGAATGGGAGGAGTAGGAGGAGGGGAAGGCCGTTGGGAAATTATATTCGTCAAACGTTCTCAGTGGGTTCAATGTGCTGTCGTAGCCCCGTGTGTCGTAGATGGGCAGATGGTAGCAGCCCTTGCCGCCCCCCACGATGATTCGAGACTCTGACAGCCGGCAGATGGTGTCCACCTGGCAGCACCGGATTGGAGGAAAACGGAGGTGAGGACACGTGGGAGGGGAAGCATGAGTTGTCACACGCCTGTGCGTGTGAAATTATCACTGGGTGTGTGCACAGCACATGGGTCGTATTTCAGCCCAACCAACACCCCGCCCATACCCCTCCCACATCCCTACCACACCCCTCTCATTGTGCTACACTATAGCTCGACAACATAATCGTAACATTATTTCTTGCGAAATTATAAGGGCCCCCACGTTTACTCACCTGGGGAAGGTCGGTGATGATGGTGGCGGTGTGACGCAGCATCCAGTCATAACACGTCACCCTGGCGCCATGTGCCACGTCAACAGAGCCGTCTTCATGCGCGGCCAGCGCCGTGCACACGTCAGCAGGGCCCACATTGGGGCGAAGCACGGACGTCTTTCCGAACAGGATGGGCGATAAGGGGAAGGGTTGGGGATGAGGGGGGAGTGGATGGGAGGGGAAGGTGGAGGGGGGGGGGGAGTGCATGGGAGGGGAAGGTGGAGGGGGGGGGGGGGAGTGGAAATGTTCGGTTAGAGGAGGTTTTTGAGAATTTTTTAGAAGCGCCTGCAACAACAGAGGGGAAGGGTGAAGGGGGGGAAAGGTGGAAATGTTTCGGTTTACGTTTAGACGTGTGCTATTATGCTATATACCAGACCAGAGAAGGAAGGGATGAACGGGAGGAAGGGGAGGGGGCTTGAAAGAGGGAGGTGAAGATATTTTGGCTTGAAGTGGAACAACTGAACTTGAGTAAGGTAGGTGCTTGGAAGGTGGTCATGCGCTACCAGAGCCGTGCTCGCTTCAGCAGAGGACAATCTTGCACTGGTAACCTCGACTCGACGTGTAGGAAAAAAACACTTCGAAACAAAAAAAGAGGCTACTTACCCTGACCTGAAAATGTGTACTTATGCGTCACCTCCGACCAAAACATGACTGTGGAGGACGGGAGATCGAAATCAAGATTCCACTCACCTTGAGCATTTCAGTGGCACACCTACGTGACCTGGGGCTCCTCAAGAGACTCACCCTGTGCATTCATTGGCGTCCAGAGCAGAGAGCAGGAGCATCCCCTAAACCGGGACGACTACAATCCCAACAGCAAACTTACCACCTGCGTTCTGAGGCGATTTCAGACCACTCACTCTGTGCATCTCATTGGCGTCGAGCGCAGGGGGCAAGAGCGCGGCCTTAACAGGGTCCAGCAGGCCGACATAGTCCGCGTCGCCAAGCACCGCGTCAACGGTAACTCCGACGGGGATTTTAAGAACACCGGACCGCAGGAAATTCAGCAACACGCCAAACGTCTTCGGATCGCGGTCAATAAAGATCTCCGGTGTATCCTCCTCTTCTTCCGCCATCCGTCTCAGGCGAGTTCCCGATGTGCGACACGTGTCATGATGGGAGTGCGAATCAGATTCGCGAAAGTGGGAACGGCGAGCGTCGCGAGACGCCCAGACTGGGTCCAGCATGGCTCCGAGAAGCGAGCCGCGACCCGCTAGCTCGAGCGTTTCCCGAGACGTTTCGAATATTTGCCCGCCTACATTGATTCGAATGCGAGATGACGACGGCATGATGGCGTGCGGGGATACGAAATGCGAACCAAAGAGCAGACTGGCAGTTATTTCTACAGCTCACCGGCGTGACGCTTCAACAGACTTTAGAGATAGCTACTGTACGTCATCCCGCGCTACGACTTCGAAAGCATAGCACCGTTCAGGAGGCTTTCTTATGGCGGAGCCGACGTGCTGAAGAAACTTCTGAAAATGCGCAAGGATCCGACTGGAGGTCTATGGATAAGCCGTTGAATTCTGGCGGCAGAGACTTGGTTAGTCTGCTGAAATACGCAAATTCAATAGAAAAACGCGTACAACCTCAATCAGCAGCGTGGCTTTCGAGCAAACTAAAAACTATACTCAGCAGTCTGACTGATTGTCGTCCTGGTCGTTACTGAAATCTAGCACGCCTGGTGCTCACCGTTCAGGCGCCGATGCCTGTCAGTCACGCCGTCAAATTCAGAATGTAATGCTCGAGATTCAAACAAACCAGCCAGATGACTATGACTCCTGTATCCTGACAGGAACAGGCGACCGATGCCCGCATGCCACGAGAATGTCAAACGCCATGATGCTCCATGGCGAAAGGGCTGATTATTCGAGGTTGCTGTAATTGTTCAATCCGAGAAAGCTCTTCGTGTGACCGTGCTGTGTAGAGCTTGTCACATGGTTGGGGATGGGATGGGAGTAAGGTTCGTCAAGATAACGCATGTATGGCGGTGCAGAGGTAACACACGCCTTGCGCTAACATGGTCATATTTTGTTCAGGGGAAGGCCAGAGGTCCGACAACCGTTTTGGTAACCCTGGGAATTGGTTGGGTCATGCCATATCTGAGCCGTCGGATTATCGCGGATCACTGTTTTGTGATTTTCGGACGTTCAAGATGACCTCGAATTGGGGGCAATAAAGTTGCGGCTGTGGCCCCACACCACAGAATGAAATACCTCAGCAGAAATGGGTCGTCCCACGGCGGAGCTCACTGCCTGCGGGCAAAACAAATAATACCCATTCGGGCATGCATCTGGTCAGGGAGGCATCAACCCTAAACACCTGGAGGCATGGTGTTTCTCCCTCAGATGGCATGCCATCTGATAAGGTTTTAGTTTTTTCTGCTCGGGGCAGCAGGTCGTCAGGTCGTCGGAGGGTCGACGGAGCCCACGACCCATTTTCGCGAGGGAATGACGGACCGCCCTGGTTTCGGGTTTCCGATTCCTTTCGGCAGTAGTTTTGACACCGCTTTGCTTCGCGCTCAAGTCCGATACCTTCGGTCAGTTATTTACGCTATTGCCCCTTTTCGAGTCCAGAGACTAATACTGTGTTTATCTATCGGATATCATAAATTGAATTGTCGTGTCAATTACGAGAAGCTCGGGACAAAAAATATATACCCCTCATGGAGGGCATGCCATTTGGGAGGCATCAACCCTAAACACCATGAAGCAAGGTGTTAAGGGTTGATGCCTCCCAAATGGCCAGCCATCCGAGAGGGGTTTATTTTTTCCACTGGCCACTAAACTAAAACCAGGTAAACTTCAGAATTTTCCTGGTCACAGGAAATTGGAAATGTCGAAATCAGCTGCCCCAAGGAATCGGACGCGAGCGGAGAAGCAAGGCGGTGTCAAAGCCACTGCCTAAAGGAATCGGAAACTTGAAAACAGGGCGATCCGTCATTTCGTCCATTTCCGCTGAGAGATACAGCATGGAAAGACTCGCGGTCGCGGCTGGAAGGAAGGGGGCTGATAGGGAAGGCAAACTGTTGCTTGCGGGCACTCTCCTCAGCGCAAACAGAGGAGGGGGAAGACTGCACGACACAATAGGTCAGGGAGGGCAACTCGATCTCATTCCCCCGAACTGTCACACCCGTACGCCTGGTTTGGGGTGCTTGCGCTCATTTCCCCCTGCCCTGTCCTGACTGGAAACGTTTCACAGTTGCCTCCATCGCGCCACGCGGCGCGTCAAGCCCAGGGTCGGTGGTTGCCTGCATTTTTGCCTCGTTCCCCAGCGGTGCTTTCGAGGTTGGAAAGCTGCTTGTTCACAGTTTACACAGTCAAGCAGAGTCAAATAGGAGGCTTGTATAATCGACGCACATAATATCGAAAATATACACTACCGTGTTGCTTCTTTATGTTGCATAATGTAAGGAAAATTCAATTTCCTTACTTCGCGCCCCTGCTTACCGCTTACAAGACCATTCCCGCCATCGGCACCCAAACAGTGAAACATTATCCGCTCGCGACACTCGCATCGACTACGAATCCCGCCACTGTTCACGACGCGACCCAACCTCTCAGCTCGGTTGGTACCGTAACCCGCGCTCCGGACCTCCGCCTTGACATATCCCAACCTCGGCGCTAGGCCCGTAGCGCACCCCAATTCCTTGCATTACCGTTACCAATCTAGTTCGCTATATATTCTTCGCGCATGCCTTCGCTCGTTGTATTGTTTGCTTCGATAGTGCAATTCTCGCTCGCTCGCTCAATTACACTCATAACACATGGTATTCAGAGCCCACGATCTCCTCTCGGACCGCACCCACACCTTCGCTTCCCCACTATCTCATTTTTTGGGGGGGGGGGTAGACGTCTCTCAGCGAACAAGCACCGCCGCTCGAAGTGCTCTCTCGTAAGCACGCACGGCCACGACAAAGGCTCTCGCTGAGCTTGCCGGACACCCCCGCCATGGCTGAAATTAATCTCGCGACACTGACGCAGGAGCAGCTCGACCGTCTCGTGCGCCAACTCGAAGATTCGGCGCTCGAAATTGCGACACTCACGGTGGATCGCGACTTCGCTCGCCAGCAATCGACGGTGAATGCACTAGCACCAACACATGCACCTGCACAATCGGAGGAGCCGATCGTCATCTCATCAGGCACACCAACACAGAAAGACAGCGTGGGACAACGCTCAGGCGTAGCCAGTGATGGCGCCGCTCACTCAATGCCTGGCATGTGTCAAAATGTTATAATGCTTATATTTTGTAGGCTGTAGTGGGGTAGCCCATAAGGGGCACAACCCAATTAGGGTTAGTACTTACCAACTTTCTGCTCAATGCATTCATTTCTCGTTCAGTATTTTGACATGGTTTCAGAGCAGGTCCTGTTCCAAGACCGTTTTTTGTAGGGCCCACCGCATAGCGCTGCCCCACTAGTCGCGCTGCTCTGCCCTGCCCTGCCCTGCCTCTCGCGCCGCCTTGCTGGCCGCGCGCTGCCCTGCCCTGCCCGTCGCGCCGCCCTGCTGGTCGCGCGCCGCCCTCCCCTGCCTGTTGCATCGCCCTGCTCGCCGCCGCGTCGCCCTGCCCTGCCCGCGCGCCGCCCTGCTGGCCGCCGCGCCGCCCTGCCCTGCCCGCGCACCGCACTGCTGGCAACCGCGCCGCCCTGCCCTGCCTGTGCGTCGCCCTGCCCTGCCCACGCGCCGACCTGCTGGCCGCCGCCCTGCTGCCCGCACCGCCCTGCTGCGCGCCGCCCTGCTGCCCGCGCCGCCCTGCTGCTGCCCGCCCTGCTGCGCGCCGCCCTGCTGGCCGACGCCCTACTGCCCGCTCGCCGCCCTGCTGGCCGCCGCACCGCCCTTCCCTGCCCGCGCGCCGCCCTGCTGGCTGCCGCCCTGCCCTGCCATTGCACTGCCCTGCCCTGGCCCCGCACCGCTCTTCCCTAGCCGTGCGCCGTCTCGCCCTGACCTGCGCGCTTCCCTAGTGCTCGCGCGCCGCCCTGCCTGCGTGCTGCCCTACTGGTCGCACGCCACCCTGCTCTGCCCGCTAAGGCTTCTCTCAGTGTTCTCACCTTTCATTATGAGGGCCGTCCGATCCAGTTCGATACGTGGCTCGACGACTTACAGCTGTACCTACTGAGCAATTCTAGAGACAGCGTTTCGTTGTTTGACCACACGTCTAGAGCCTCTCTCGCCCCTCCCGCCACAGCTGACATTGCGACTCGCTCACAGTGGCTTACCCGTGACGCTGCCGCTCGCTTAGCCGTTCGCAACCACCTGCCGTTAGCCGAACGTGCTCACTTTGGCCAGCACAAGGCTGCTAAAGCCCTGTAGTCGCTCGTTACTCTCCCCCTGCTGTTCTCGGCCGCCATATACTGCCCGAACTTTTTCCCAAGCTGTCAGCCTTTGCCACAGTCGAGGACCTCATTCCCCACCTTCGCACTAGCGACACTCACTACCGCGCTGCCCTCCCAGCCAAGTTCCTTGACAAGAACCCGCCCCCGATGTAGATCACTCTCTACTTCATAGTCACCCGCCTCCCTGACTCTCTTCGCGCAGTCAGGGACCACTTTCTCGCACTTGACCCCACAGACCTCACTGTCGACCTGCTCGAGAAGCACCTCCTTGCAGCTGAGACTAGCGTAGTCGCTGTAGGTGCTGCTCGTGGCACTCCTTGCACACCCTTCTTTGAGGGGTGTTCCCCCTCCCCCCTTGCCCCCTCCTACGCTTCTGCTGTTGCTGTTCATATCCTTGGTACTGAGGATGTCGGGGCTGCTTCTGCTCTTAGTGGGAAGCGCCGCAGCGGCAAGGGCAAGGGTGGCAATAGTGGTGGCGGTGGCAGCGGGGGTGGTGGTGGTGGAGGCGGTGGAGGCGGTGGAGGTGGCGGAGGTGGTGGCAGTGGTGGGAGTGGTGGTGGGAGTCGGGGCTTCGGTGGCGGCAGTGGTGGCAGCGGTGGGAGTGGGGGTGGAGGTGGTGGCGGCAGTGGGAGTGGTGGCGGCGGCAATGGTGGCGATCGGGGTGGAGCTGTTCAGAGGCAGCAGCAGCAGCAGCGTCGGAGCAAGACCCCGTCGCCCCAGCAGCTTCGTGAGTGGTTTTCT